TTAACTTTTGTGAATATCAGGCTTAGAGATCATTCCGGAAATTATATTGTCAACATATATTGTTGAAATAAACAGCCATCATTGCTTTTTTGAGCATGCATATACTTAAACATAAGATAAATCGTAATCTACATTTTACTTTGTGACAAGAACCTATTAAAATTCTTTCAACAAAGCTAAGCAGCTATTGTGAATCCCCCCCCCCCATTTTCCTCCTTTCTCTTTGATTGAAGAGAACTCCAGTACGAGAAGATAACATACTTTTATGAACCATTATCATTCCTGATAGAAGAAAATCTTTCTCATCCCCACTCACTTATATCAGAAATGCAGCATACTGATTTCCCCCAATGATGCATTCAGTTTCAGTAGTACTGCTGATTTTTCTAAGAGGTTAAGCATCAAGACAATCAGATGATATGGCATTCCCATTCAACCATAATTTCTCGTAATCTACATGGTCAAAGACTTTACTGTGATTTATAAAAGAACTAGCTTGGGTACCTGGCAGTGCCCGGGTTATTTGAAAAAGGCATTGTTTGTTTTTGGGCGTTAGGTAATATCATTTCGTTCATTAGTAACACTATTTATTCGAAAATAATAAATAGTTTTACTAATGAACTAAAGGCAAGTGTGGTCCAGATCTATCATTGGTTGAGTTCACAGTGCCCTCTGGATGTAGGTGAACTACAACTCCTATAAGTGATTATAAATTCTTTCCAAACATCCTGTTCACCTGCCTATCAATTCCTGTTTACTGTGTGCCATAGGAAAGGGTAGTAAATGGTTAAGGGAGAGGCAGTGGGCGGGGTCATTCAAATTCCACACCAATGGAGAGAGAGAAAGGAACCCTGAAATGTCCATTCTAGAGGAAAAAACAGAACATCTAAGAGGAAAGGAAATCATTTCTTGGGTGGTGGACAGAATGGTGTTTGGGGAGGACATTGGCAGTGTTTGAGCTACATGTTCATGGCGCTTGCTCTAACCTTTAATCATCAGTGGAGGGAGTGCCTTTGGAGGCTTCTCAGCACTTGTAACTATAGCTGTTTGAGGAAGCTGTCTATGTACGTGGGCACCTCCACCACATACACATATGCATATTTTCACTTTTATTATGTATATAGATTGGTTGAAATTCTTTGGTATGTTCCATTATTCAACACTTTTGTGATATGATCACTAGTTTGACTTTCTTTTCTGAACCGGTTTGGACATCTGGTATTCTTCCAATTCATATACTGTAAAAGCTTTTCCTGTAAATGTTTGAGCTACACTTTGCTTGCAGAGAAGATCAATGCCATAGTGTGATGATTGCTACAATTCCTGGTGTTCTTTTGGAGGCATTAGAACAGAAGCAGTTGCTCTACTCCGAACTCAAGAATGGAAAACAGAATGTTGGAAGACAGGAAAAGAGATTTAAAGATGGGCTCAAAGCCAACCTTAAAAACTGTGGCATAGACACCGAGAACTAGGAAGCCCTGGCCCTTGAGTGCTCAGTGCTGTAGTCTTTGAAGAGGCACACATGGAGGGCAAAAGAGAGAAACATGTCAAGAGGAAGGCTCATCAAACCGACTGGGACTGCCTTCCACCTGGAAACCAATGCTCTTAGTGCAGGAGAACATGCGGGTCAAGAACAGTGCTCCACAGATACCTATGTACCCACCGCCAAGACACCACACTTGGAGGACAATCTTACTCTGACAATGAGGGGATTGTCTAAGTCAAGAAGTCTCAYTCTGTGAGTTCCCAGACGTTTTGGCCTACATCTCTCAGAAATCCCAGCCAGTTTGCCAGCTGTTAGGATTTCTGGGAGTTGAAGGCCAAAACATCTGGGGACCCWCAGGTTGAGAAAAATTAGAATGTATATTGAATGTTTCCAGTCTGTGGAATATTGTTTTCTTTTATATAATTAGCGGGACAAAAGCTTACATTCTATCACTTCATTTTAAATATAAAATCACTTCTATTTGAAGAGGTTAAAAGGAAAGTTCTATCTTTTCTTCCCATATCCTTGAAGAAACACAAAACTTGTTGGAAATGTTCCCGTTGGAGATTTTTTCATTCAGTGAAGCACCGTGGGTTCATTAGTTATAAAGTATGTCTCCTATCTGAAACTAGGCTTGAAAAGAACAGTCAAGACACTCTGCTTAGTATGATATATTTTGTTATGTTTGCCCCAGAGAATAAGAAGCAAGAATGCAAAATAGTATATTATCATTTACTAGATGAACAACTGCATTCAAAGTATGCCATTTCGGGTTCACAGAGTTCTCTCATGAGCTTGCTGCCTGAAGTCGAATTTTTAAGTCAATAGTATGCATGCTTTTTCAGCAACACAAGGTCATCCTAACGCCACACAGTCTGAAAATGATGTGTATTTCAATGCTCTAGGTCCCATCAATTTCATTCTAAAACAACAGTAGTATATATAAATTCTGCACTATCTTTTCGTTCTCTCAAAAATGTTCTACTTGCTGTTTTACAACAGAAGGCAAAACAAAAGGGCATTATTCCTAAGGAGTATTCCATCTCTTGCTATAAATGAGACCAGTTGGCACAATATGTAAGTACTGTAAAGTGTTTTGCACACTAAGCTTGCAATGTAAGAGAGGTACAATTAAATTTAGAAGAAATAAAAGCTGTTCTTAATACCAGAAAAAAAAACAAATAACAAATCCAACCATTCAGGGCAGAAATGATGATGGCAGACAGATGGCAAGCTATTTAACCTCAGCAGACTGAAAGCCATAACCAAGGTCACAATAACATCTGTTATAGAACTCCAATATGCTGATGATAACATAGTCTGTGCGCATTCAGAAGAAGACCTACAAGCCACTCTAAACACCTTTGCAGAAGCATACAAGAAGCTCAGGCTCTCATTGAACATCAAGAAAATCAAAGTGCTCTTCCAGCAGTCAGTAGCCAATCCCTCTGCAATGCCAGAAATACAGCTTAATGGTGTAACATTAGAAAATGTTGACCATTTCTGCTACCTTGGCAGCCACCTCTCCACAAAAGTCAACACTGGCATTGAAATACAACATCACCTAAGCTCTGCGAATGCAGGCTTTCCTGAATGTTTGAGGACCAGGACATCCGTAGGGAGACCAAGGTGCTTGTTTATAAAGCTAATGTCTTCCCAACCCTGCTATATGCCTGTGAAACATGGACTGCCTCCAAAAAATCCTGCAAATATCTTGGGAGGACAGAGGGACAAATGTCAGCATGTTGGAAGATGCAAAGACCACCAGCACTGAAATGATGTTCCTACACCATCAATTCTGCTGGACTTGCCAAGTTGTCTGAATATCCGATTACCGTCTCCCATAGCAGCTCCTATATTCCTAACTCAAGAATGGGAAACTATTGGTGGACAGGAAAAGAGATTTAAAGACGGGCTTAAAGCCAACTTTTAAAAGCCCTGGCCCTTGAGCAATCTAACTGGAGGTCAGCTGTGACCAGCAGTGCTGCAGAATTTGAAGAAGCACGAATGGGGGGCAAAAGAGAGAAACGTGCCAAGAGGAAGGCATATCAAGCCAACCCTGACCGGGACCGCCTTCCACATGAAAGCCAATGTCCTCACTGCAGGAGAACATGCAGATCAAGAGTAGGGCTTCACAACTACCTACGGACCCACAGCCAAGACATTGCACATGGAGGACCATCATCCTTGGGCTACGAGGGAACGAGGGAATTGTAGTACTTTCTTGTGTGCTTTTTCCACTGCATATTTCAATGATTACAGTATATTTGTACACTTGAGTCACTTTTTTATAGAATTATTAATGAACTTGACAATTATGGCTTTTTCAAAATGATGGGAAACTGAAAAATATGTGTGTGCTGACATTAGTAGTCTCACATACTAAAATTAGTTAAATTCATGAGGGAATAAATATTTTCCTCCCTATCACTTAATTAAAATTCCACTAAGCTGATACATCCCAACTCATTATATAAGAAAACCCTTCAAACATAATGGTTAAAGTTGTCCTAATGAAATATAATTATTCTGTACCATAAACCACAATCTAAGGCAGGGGTTCTCAAACTAAGGCCCACGGGTCGGATGCGGCCCACCAAGGTCATTTACTCAGCCCCTGGTCTAAACTTTAGACTCAGGGTCACCCTAAGTCTGAAACAACTTCAAGTCACAACAACAACAATCTGAATTAACATGACTATCTGATCAGCCAAAAGCAGGCCCACCATTTCCATTTAAATACTGTAAATTTATGTTGGTTGAAATTGTTCATCATTTTAAATACTGTATTGCTCTTTCAGGTTTTTTGCAATACAAATAATATATCTGCAGTGTGCATAGGAATTTGTCCATGTTTTTCTCAAAATATAGTCCGCCCCCCGCCCCCCACCTCAACAGTCTGACAGATAGTGAACCGGTCCTCTGCTTTAAAAGTTTGTGGCCCCCTGATCTAAAGAGACTATCTGTCTCTCTTTCAATTCTTGGAAAGGCAGATAGGAGTAGCTAAAACAAACACATCACTTTGGAAATTAATTGTACTGCAGTATAATTTTTTTTTAAAAAAAGTCACTTGTACATGGACAATTAAGGAAAAAGATGGTTTTGCACCCAAAAAAAAGTATTGAGTGGGATTGTCTATTAATCTAATGTAAAATTAAACGTACATACTTCAGCATTTCTCACCACTTAAAACCCCAGTAACCACGAGTCAGAGTTATTATCAAAACAATTGCAGATAGTCAAAATGAAATAAATAAAATCAATGCTACTCTATAACTAATCATGGGTATTGCAGACTTTCTTGAAGCATATCTAATTAATAAATATGTAATTACTAGTTTGTGCTATATAATACACAGTAATAACAGAAAAAATGTTTTCTTGAATATCACTAGGTCAGATTTACTGCCGCTTTTGTAAAGATAGAGAAGTTCAGCTTTAAATAGCAAACTGCTTTGTCTGCAATGTACTATCTCTGTTTCCATTGTTTACTCTGTTACTTCAGAATATCTACCTCTCTCTGTCTGGGGAGCCGTGGTCATCCATTATTCGATGTCTATCCATTCGATTCATGGTATTGTAATGTGCAGGAGTAGATCGAGGCCCTCGAGACCCCTGTTCCACATTCCTACTGAAGAAATAAAACCATCAATGTCACAAAGGGGGAAAATAGCATTTCCTTTATGCTAGCATCTACAATGAGTGCTACTGATTAAAATGTTAGCTGAAACTTTTAATGCCCTTGATTCTGACATAAGTTCAGAGCTAATGGGCTTCTTAGCTTCCATAGTTTGTTAAAAGTTTGACATTTTTGTACAAATTCTTCGGAACCCTTGCTTCCATATATAAAACATAAAAAGGAGAGAATTTTTTAAAAAAGAAATAGACTTAAAATCAGATCTGATTTCGTGTTCTTCTATTATGGCTCACGAACATTTCACTGTAATTTCCAAACTCACTGCCTAATACTTAGCCAATGTTAGCTGGAAATAAAAACCAAATTAATGTTCAAAATAAAGCACACAAATATAGAGTTTTCATGCAAAAATAACCAGTGTCTTTAAACAAAGCCTTGATAAAACGTATCCTAGTATATCTTATTACAAGCTCACGTACTGCAGCTTACATTTACTGACCATGCTTAAGTCAGGAGGATTTGTTTCATAAAAGTCAACAGGAAAAAAGGTCTAATTTTGAGGCTGATTGCAGACCCCTTACATAAAGTTATAAATACTAGTGTTAAAATGCACCAGCCTTCATTGCATTGTTTTATTTGAATATTACAAAATTCATGTTCTACTTAGGTTTTTACATCTTTTAAAGAAACTAGGTGAGCAGCTATTTGCCAATCACTTTAGAAAACAACTCAGAGAGTAACCTGAGTATACACGGGCAGTAAGGTTACTCAACATCTGTAGAAGTAAGATGAAATTAAGTCTCAAGAATTATATATGATTATTTTCTCGCAAAAAATAACCCAATATGTTTGGCAACAACAAACAAACAAATATATGGTATAGCCTTCTTCAGGGAATGTTAAAAGAAAAAAAGAGAGAAGACATAAAGATGGTATAGTGGTTTGATTGCTGGACTACACCTTACTGACCAGAGTTCAGAGCAAATACACCATGGAAACCCACTGGGTAACCCAGGCCAAGGTAATGCCAAATCCCTCTGAGCAAGTCTTGTCCAGAGAACCAATTTGAAGTCACAAAACAAAGGTTGTAGAGGTTTAAGAAGTATATGTGTGTATACACTATACCTCATATTAACTTATATGTAAAAGGCAATAATGAAGAAAGGCAGTACTCAAACAGAAAAATATTTCATACACTACTAAAACTTTGGGCTGATTTGTGAACTGTAATCTCTCCCTCCCTCCCTCCCTCTCTCTACATACACCCACACACCCACACCCACAAGGAGTTCTGTGGCATTTCGAGATGCACCCAAAAAGGAGATTAAAGCCATCTGTAGTCCAAGAACAGCAATATAATTGCCCGTAATGTTCAACTTAATTTAAAGATATTATTGTATGAGATGAGACCTCTGGCAGGAGCAGTCTATCCTTTACCTGGCAACTAAGGAAGTATGGAAGAGATGGTAGGAAAAAGAGAAAAAGGCCCACACACTCTTTTGGCTCTGACCATGCCATCAATAGCTTCTCATCAATTCTGCTGTCACCTGAGACTGCAATATCAACGATCCATATTTTGTTTTTGTTTTTTTCCATGATTGTGAGGTCAGGAGTATTGTGCTCCAAAACTCTGTCAATCTGAATTTGGAAATCCTTGAGTAGTTTGACGTGTTCATTTTCTGTAACTTTTTAAGGCTTGTGATCCCACCTATTCTTTGTCACAGGCAGATGGTATTTGTGGCACAAGTGCAAATGGATCATCTGAGCAATGGTATTATGCCTCTGCTTATAGTCTGTTTGCGTGATCTTCTTACAGCAGCTGAGAATGTGATCTATCATTTAATCTGCTTCCTTGCAAAGCCTACACTTGGAATGTATTGCCAACTTTTCAATTCTGGCTTTAATGGCATTTGTTCTAATGACTTGTTCTTGGGCTGCCAGAATCAGGCCCTCCATCTCCTTTTTCAAAGTTCTATTTGCAAGCCACAGTCATGTTTTTTCTTTGTCAAATTTTATCTCAGTTTTTCCCAGGAACTGTCCATGGAGAGCCTTCTTTCGCCAGTTTTATCTTCTGCTCTGGATTGTGTTTTTACAGTATTCACTCTTTGTCTTTTGCACTTGAAACAGTTTACTACTATTGACTTCCCTCAATGTTGATTCTTGACTGTCTTTCACATAAGCTGCCAGTGTGTGTTTCTCTTCTTCTACCGTTTGTTTCACTTGCAGAAGTCCTCTGCCTCCTGATTTTCTAGGCAGGTACAGTCTGTCGACATCATTATGTGAATGTAATGAGTAGTGGATTGTCATCAGTTTTGTTGTTTTTTCTATCATCATCATCATCATCATCATCATCATCATCTTTATTTATTTCCCGCCTTTCTCCCCATGGGGAGCCAAGGCGGTTAACTTCTATCCATACTAAATGTTTATTTATATGTTGATTTTGATCATTCCTTCTGGTTGTTAATGCTGTATTAGGGCACCCAGGCCTTACTTGTGCTATCCTACGTAGCACCCATGTAGATATACATAAATATGAAGAGTAACACAGATAATAATAAATAGCCCCAACCAAATATTCTGTAACCAAAGTAAAGTAAGCTTCCACTGTATTTGAATTTATAGACAAAGAGGCAGGTGCAGAAGCCTCTTCATACACTGTCTTATCTGCTATGTCACAGAATATTTTAGAAAGGTATCACATATATTTTAGAGTTAGTAGTGCTGAATTTGTTGCTTGGAAGGTAGGAAGATGACTCTATTTCTGATTATAGATCTATTACAACTTTCAAAAGACTGGAAAAGTCCCCAACCCTCAATAACAAACACATCTTGGATTTTTATAGCACCTTTGTATGGATTTTAAACCTCTATAGAAGACAATCTTGACTGAAAAGCAGAATATAAAATTTTAAGAAAGAAATAAGATGAATACTCTATATTGCATTTGAAGCCATTAATACGTTGTAGTTGCTAGCATTCCTTCAGGAAATCCAAGAAGAAATTCTGTAACTCACAAATGTACTAGTTCTTGTACAATGTATTCATAATTCACGAATGCACTAGCAAATATCAATGTGTCTATTTCCGTTGCTATTGAGAGAAAATGGTAATGTTTAATATTGTATTTGAATTATATTCCCTCATCAAAATGATTACGATTGTGGTCCTTAGAAAGTAACATCCCTTCTAGCTCGCATCCTTATTGAGCGAAAATCTTAAAACAATATTTAAGATAGTAAATAGTTACAACTAATGCTCAGATGGAACAGGGAATTTATAAAGAAAACAGGCACAAATGGTCCAACAGTGGCTTATCACGTTGCAACTAAATTACTGTGCCAGAAAAATACCAACATTACAAGATATTGTTGTAGCAGAACAAACTGATTGATTATAACAATGGCAGTCAATATCTTTGAACTGTATTGTTGCAGACTTTGTTTGAGGACTATATATTACAGTGCAATTGTGTCTTTCTCACACATCTGAAAGCCCTTTTACATTGAGCAGAATTTATATAATTTATATAATTCACACAAAACATATTTCACAACTAAACTGATATCATAATTTACCTTTGTACTGGAGGGACACTGGGAGACCATGACCTAGTCCTTCCTATACTATCTCCACGGTGAGGGGACCCTGACCGAGAGCAGTGATTGGATGACATCACTTGTTCTGGCACTGATAGTGTTGAGCTTTGGAGGTCTCTTCCATTTTGTCGGTAATCTAAAGAAAAGTTCAGACAGATTAAATAGTTACATAGGGAACTAGTTTCCCCCCATTTTCTTAATTTTGTAGAAATAGTGGAAATCTGGATAAAATATGCCATAATGCAGGCAGGCTAATAATAATTACAACTAATACTTTTTGAACCGCTAAAGGCATTTCTTATTTGTTGTCAATTCAACACAAACCTTATAAGACAATGAGCCCCTTCCCAGATTTGAAGGACCCAAAGGCAGTAATTCACGCACTGCTAACCTCAAGTTTGGACTTTTGCAATGTCATAAGACAATTGGGCTACCTTTGTACCAAGTTCAGAAATTCCAGTTGGTTCAAAATACAGCAGCCAGGTTGGTGACAAGAACATCTACGAGTGAGCATATTACACCCATGCTAAAGTCACTCCACTGGCTGCCAATTAGTTTCCGGGAAAAGTACAAAGTGTTGGTTTGATCTTTAAAGCCCAACATGGTTTGGGTCCAGGGTGCGGTTACTTCAGCCAGCCAGAACCTGACTGGTGGCTCTCACCCAGAGGACCTGTTCATTGGCCGCCCCATGATTGTGAAATGGCTTAATAGAAGAGCTCTGACAGCTAAATTAGCTGTTAGAATTTAAAACACATCTGAAGACCTATCTCTGCCACCATGCCTACTCAGTCAGTTTTAAATTCACTATATTTTAATTTTAATTTTGTGTATTATACATGTGTATTTTGTAGAAATACATTTTGATATGTGTATTTTATATCATGATTATGTGTTTTAACTATGTTGTAACCCACTTCAAGCCACGAGAAGAGGCGGGTAAGAAATAAAATAATGAAACGTTTTACTGTTTACTTTAGAAATGCTATAATATAATCTTACTGCCAATGGAATAAAAAAATGAACATACAGTATTGGTACATAGAGTATCTGAAAACTTTTCCAGTTTTTGTATACTAATTTTTAATTTATTTAAACACAACTATGGATAACAAAGAAATTACCATGCCAACTTATGAAAAACTTTTTCAAGAATTAAAATATCCTGTTACCTGACACTACTCCTATTCCATCATCACAATCATAGTCTGAGACTTCGCTATCACTGATTCGTTTGGATCCTAAAAAAAAACAATTATAGAATTACTCATTTTATTACACATAATGAATGTTACATTTATGAAAATTTATTAAATGTCATTAATAACTCTGTCAGTCTATTCATTTGTTTCTCATAAGACAAATGATAGCTGCAATATTAATGAAGCAAGCACGGCACTTACTAAAACCACTAGAGCTTAGTCAGCAAAGGCAGGTTCTAAGCCCATTATAACACCTTAAGATTGAGTCATGTAAGGAAAATCAAGTAATAGTCTCTGTCTTATTATACATAAACATGCTTACCCCCTTTTCTTTTTTTACCAAGCAGAGAAAAGAAAGAATTCAAGAGCTTACATACAAGCACATTTAATTTAAATTTCAACAGTACAAGATTCCCACAGGCCTTAAGGAGTCAATTTATCTTCTTGGAAAATGTAGTTAAACTTCAAAATGAGAAAAGGTTACAGCTGGGTGAGTCAGTTAACTGATGAAATTTACTTTAAAAAGAGTATATATTTTATATCTCCTTCAACAGATGCATAAATTGCAAATATCATTGACTATAGTTGTATCTAAAACAAAGTGAGTACCTTTCCTTTTGTCATTCATGACATGACAACAGTTGCTGTTGTCACATGTGGACTGAAATATGGAATAGCAAGTGGCACTCTTGGACTTTTGGATAGTAACCCATTCAGCAAAGTGGAAAGCCTCCAAAGTTGCTATGTCACATTTTAAAGGTATTTGATGAAAGGTAGTTTTATGTGTTTGGTAGCAGTTTTGCCAGAAGACTATCAACGTTTTGTTTAATTGGGGGGTGGCACTCTGGAAGGCTTCAAAAACCACATTAGTAGTCTCAAAGTCACATACATTCAGTTGTTGTTGTTTACCTTCAAGTCACTTCTATAAATCCTTGAATAGGAACACACCTTGATGACTTTTAACCTATCTTAATTTTGTAGATACATCACTAAACCATGAGGAGTAGGAGTGGACGGCATTAACATAAGAGAGGAAAAGAGCTGGGATTAGTGGCAGTGTGATGATCATTTGAACCTAGTTCTTTGCCATGGTTAATTAACATGAAAGCATGTTCTTTAGATTATGAGGGGATACCTGGAAAGATGTATTGATCAGAGGAGGGAGAATTCTAACTCGAACCTAACAGGGAACATCTGGCGAGGCATTCTCCCTACTCACTACAACCACCAGACTCCAAAACCTTGTTCTAAACTTACAGAAAAAGAAACAACATATCCAAAAATCACAAAAAGTTAAAGAAAGCAGATAAGACAGAAAGGAATTAGGGTACAAAAAAGCAACAGAAATAATGTGCAGGATGAACAGTTTTAGGTAATTGCTTTTCTGTGTTGACTTTGAACTAGTATGAAAGGCAGCTGATAAATTATGTACATGACCCACATTAACAATAAGAAATACATAAAACATCCATGGATCAGAAACAGGAGCTAAAATGGTTGCAGCATAAGCATCTGATCTTGTTTTGTGAAAGGATAACAAAGATAGCAATAAAACAAATACTTGAATGAACCATCAGAAATATTTCAATGATTTGTAGTTCTCATAATTCTTTTAAAACAATGTTTTTTAAACACCTAAAGGGAAAAGGAAGTAATGACTAGCAGAACAACTAAAGTCAAGACAATTTCATTTTCTTCCTTGATGGTGTAAAGTTTTTCATAGATAAAAGTAGAAAATTAAATCTTCCCTGAAGTTAGAAAGACTTTTTAAAGAGTTGTATCTAATAGATTTGAGCTAGAGAACAATGTGGAAGATCTTATTATGAAGTCATTATACAATTTGTAAATTAATTCATGAAATACAATTGCGCCGCTTAAATGAGAAGCAACATGTTAGTGAAACCGAAGCCCCATAGAAATCAATGGCATACATGAATATTCAGTTCACTTAGTCCTGATTCAGTATAGTATAAAATGAGACTCCAGACAGATTATTGCCAAGTCCTATTGCTATTGTTGGAGAACTAAATGAAGAAATTTTGTATAAAATGTTGACATGATACAGAGCTGGAAGGCTACAGCTATTTCTGAAGATAAAATTAAAATGTATTTTTAAAAAGGAAAAGACAAATATTTAGAAGAAATGACATTTTTTAAAGATGTAGGTATAGGACAAAGTCTATCATTATGAACCAATTGTCCTGCAAAGGATCTTCATTATTCAGGCATATTCCATGCTCAGTTTAAAAAATAATAATACGGAAATAGGATTAAGACTACCATCATGAACTAATTGCCCTGCAGAGGAGATCAACTATACAGGAACATTCCATATCGGATTTGCAAAAGATAATAATAATAAAAAATATATTTTTAAGGCCTCAGGGCGGTTTACACACAAAAAGGGCAAACATTCAATGCCTCAAATGAGTACGAACACATCAAAAAATAATACATGGTAAAGCACAATACAGAGAATGGATTATCATGAAGCTATTGCCTTTACAGGTAATCATATGAATATATTTTGGCAATAAAGAGCTGAAGCTAAAACAAAACAAACATTTTTATATTATCTGAAATCAGTATATAGTATTTCCATCATCTGTTCAACTTCAGCTTCTTTTAGTTCTGGCCAGCATGGACAATGGTCATGGTTGATAAGAGTGAAGTTCAAACGCTATCTTAGCCAAATGTTTCGTATTGTTTGTACGCTGGGACACACTTGAGGGGCAATATTACACTATACTAAGTGTATTGAATCTTAAATAGTACATCCAGGTTCAGTAAACATAATTTAAGCAGTAGAAGTGAAAGGAACGAAAATGGAACAAAGATGCTAGAGATATTATATATTATTAAATTTGAAAGATAGTTATGCAAGCCAGTTCCAAGTCTCTGTATTACAGCCCCAATTGTAGATCCAATATACCACCTTTGTACCTCTTCCAGAGACAATCTGTAACTTAAAGTGCCAATATGGTTAAACAATCATGGATGTATTTTTTCTTCCTATTCAGGAAGTTGAGGAACCATTTTCAGCCTAGTGTTAAATTTAGTGTCAAAGAGCTTCCAAGATCCGTGGTGATGATTCTGGCATGGGAATTTCAGTAGTAGGCAGGAGAGAAGTGAAAAGGGTGGGACCAATTAATTAAAGCCTTAATTAAAGACTAATTCTGTATTCCATGAGTAGCAAATCTCAAACTTTGCGGCTGAATATGATCCTCTGAAGCTCCCCAGATATCTATATTTACTTCATGGTTTCATGGTTTCCCAGCTTTTAGAAGGGATTCTAAAATATTGAAATGCTGACTGTAAGCAATTTAAATTAAACTATGCTGATTTTCTAGCACAATGCTTACTATCACAGTACCACAACCACCATCCCACAATGGCTAACCTACATTGAAGGAAAGAAGGCGTACAAGGATAATGCATCCATGATTTAACATTTAAAACTCATTTACAGAATGTGTAAATGATATACATTTTAACTTAAAAGGGAAATGGTGGTTAGAAAATCAATTTTCATATATTAACAATGTCAGTAAGACATTACTGCTCCTATATTTTGTCTTCCACAGCTTGTAGCAGTAATGCATTTTAAACAATTCACATGACTGTGATACCTCAACTTACAAGTGATCCAACTTGCAAGTTTTTTGAGATATGAGCCATCTCTCAGTTGATTTTTAAAATTTGAAGTGTGAGTGGAGTTCTGAGTTACGAGCCCGTTCATCACAAAATGGCAGCACCCATTTCAGTCTCTCGGAGGGAGCCTAGCAGTCATTGGAAGCTGGGGGTACTTTGAGCTTTATCTCTTCCCTTAAATCAGTGGTTCTCACCTGTGGGTCTCCAGGTGTTTTGGCCTACAAGTCCCAGAAATCCCAGCCAGTTTACCAGCTGTTAAGATTTCTGGGAGTTGAAGGCCAAAACATCTGGGGATCCACAGGTTGAGAAACACTGGTTCAAATAGTAAGTTCTCTAAAGCATTCTATTTTAGTCTCTTCTTTGTTGCATACAGATTAACACTCTCTTCAGTCTAATACATTACTGAATACTGACTTAATACAGACTGATTATACACTGCACCACACTAACACTACCAACTACCATTGCCTTAGATCATGTATCTCTCTTTCACTCCTTTCCTCATGTGCCGCTCCCTGGAGAGGGGGTGCAACCTCTTCTATGGGCCAATGTCAGTGTCAGGTGCCCAGCCCTACCCCTCCTCTCCCTCTCACTTAAAGAATCATGGATCAGAGATAAGTTCCCACTGCTAAACTTGCTCCAATTCAGCAGCCCATTGTCAAGTACCCAGACCCCCCTCCTCTCACTCCAACCTGCCTCGCTCTAGGGGCTGCCAGAGCAGCTTGCAAACCAGGACCATCCCTGCAAGAGCAGCAGCAGCAAATGCAAGCACCACCACAGGATCTCAGGGACTTTCCTCCAATTGCCGGGATTTTACGAGAAACAAATTGCAATCTCTCTGGTCTTTGGAAACCCCACTCATGTCCTTCCTTCCTTGAACCCCATTGCCAATTCCCTCCTCGACTGGGAAAGATGGGAAGGAACCTGCTCCTCCTATGTCTGCCCAAGCAGGCACTTGGCACTTGTGGTGGCCAGCGCGTATTCAGAGTCTTGGACTGCCTGGCCTTCTCTTCCATTGCCACCAAGACTTAGGTCTCCTCTCCGCTGCTGCCAGTACTATAAAGGTAGGGTAGAAGTGAGAAGCACTGAATGCTTTCCTATGGAAACTCTTCTCAAGGCTCAAGACCTGTGGCACACTGAGGACCCTAGAGGGACTGGAACAGATCAATAGCATTTGAATTAATTTCAGTGGGGAAATTTGCTTCGAAATAAGAGCCATCTGGTTTAAGAGCTCAGTCACAGAATGAATTAAACTCATAAGTCAAGGTATCACTGTATAGTTAAAAGATTTCTAACAGACCTTTCACAGATTGTACTAATGTTAACATTGTTAGATATTCTCAGAGTTAAAACCACTAAAGGTGTTACTAAATAAATGGATATTTTTTGCAAAATGTTTATAACGAAGGCAACTAAATTAAAAATACTGCTAGGATAAAAGCCCTATGACTGAAAAGCAAGAAAAAGATATCCACAGAGCAAATCAGCAATTGAAATGGGGCACAACAAGTAGCAGAAGCACATCAATAACATAAAATAAACTCTCTTAATGTATGCAAGCAATAAACAGCATGCTTATAATTTACCTGAATTATATGAATAAAAGCCTTTATCTGGAAAACAAATGTTGAAATGAAGTGACATCAGAAAAAAACATATGAGTTCTTGACATGCAACTGGGATGTACAAAATCTGGAGACTTACATATATGTAACTTTAATAGTATTTCTATAAGGAACACCATTAATTACCTAATTAAGCTGTAAAGTGCAGTCTTATGCATGTTTATTCAAAAGTAATTCCTACTGCATTCAATGGGGCTTATTCCCTGTATTACTGATACGATATGCAAAGTGACTATGGATTCCTTCTGGTACAACATAACTTCTGACCACTTCCTTTCCCTCCACCTGTATCCATGAGCTTGCCTGCTATTTTGAGGTTGCACCAAAAGAAAAGGCTTCATGAGAGGACTGCATTCTCTCAGTTATGTTGAGAGTAGCAATTCTGTCAATGGCGCCAACTCATCACTTAATTGAAGCTTAATCCAGACAAGATTGGACAGGGGTTCAGTCCTCTGAAATTTCAGCCACTCAGCTCAAGCAGGTTCCTAGATTCAGATCTAAGCCTAGATGCCCAGGTTTCAGCAGTGGCCTGACCAGGAGTATGTTTGCACAGCGAAAACGGTGTGCCTGCCAGCTAAACTCGTACCCACTAATTAAAGTAACAAATACAAATTCTAGCTTACCCTGTCTGAATTTGGTCCTCAATAACAAACAGAGTTTTCACATGACTGCATTTTTCACAAAAATCTCCTAAAGTGCACACCCCCTCCATGTTGACATTACTCTCAACTTGAAATTATTTGAAACTTGGATAGAAAACTTGAAATTATTTCTTCTTGCATATGGGAACAGAATAGTAATTTAATACTGCAGAGCCTAAGAGTATTCGGAGCTGTACAAACCATAGAACAACCTTTCACACTCTATTATCTATATATTTGTCTGTGTTTCTATCCTGTCTTTTTCCAAACAAGGCAGCTTACCACAAAATGTGTTGTGTGAGTTTTATTGGCCCACAATACTGGAGCAAGCTAAAAATGTAAGCCATGTTGTACTATAGCAGCATACGGCAGTATAAGTGGGCCTTTCAGTACCTGATTCTATACCTGTGCTCTTTGAATTTAATGAATAGTGTCTGATCCAAATATGTTTTCTGATTCTATAGTTAAAAATCTCTTCTGTACTATAGATAGAGATTAGTACTATGGTTTTTGAATTATCTAGACTTTTAACTGGAAGGTCATTTCAACACAACTTCTGAAGGCAAGACATTTTCTGTTTGTTCTGTATTACATTGGTCTTGCCCACTCGATTCCTTGCTGTTACAGTTTTACCCCTTTCTTGTGAGGACTGAAGAAAACTGCTTTTCCCATTTTCACAGATACCAACAGAAATGCAAACTATCCACAGTATGTATGGGTGATCACAATAATCATCATGAGACTTGAACTCGTCCCCACAAAACTGTGTAACCAATGGACTCTCCATGCAGGTCCCCATCTTCATCTAACTGATAAATCGGACTGGCCTTTGTGATCAGGACAGCATGTTTCTCTTCCTCCTGTGACCCTGGGTTCTTTATTTAAAAAGGGGGTTATGTTCTAAAGTCAACTAACTATTCTGATTGTTTTGGCAGGAGGCTTAGATTACTCTTTGCAGCCAAATCCATGAGTAGCAGTACCAGTTCTTGACATCCTGCTTATTGAAGCGTAGAATGTATTAAGAGTAGGCACGAATAGCTCTTCAAGTGCATAAAGGTTGTGTGAAATATGGAAGAAGGGGTCATGGGATAGTTCAGGCACTATCATACATTTTCTAGGTCCCTCATATGTCATCTGCAAGGATTAGTGTGTCAGTATCGTTTGGTTGTGGGAGTCATTGTTTGATAGATGTTATTATTTTGGTATTATTTTGTTTTGTGGTTATTTTATGATCAGAGAGACATATATCACCATAGTATGATCACAGGATAATCTTATCCATATAATAGGCTTCATATGAAATGTAGACGGAAAACAACAGCACAATGAAACAAAGATGTTTTACAACCAAACCCATATGTTGTGCTATATGTTTGAAAAGTGCCAGTGCAACATAAAGTACTTTCACAAATCTATAACTATTCCTTCTGAAAATCTTTAGTCAAAGGACTGAAATATTTTGCCCCAGTCTCTCTCATTTTTCTCTGCTTGACAGGTATTGTTTTTAACTGCAGGCACTTTATAATATGCCATAACATCCCCAAACCAATTGATTTATGTGCTTTCTGAAAGTAAGCCCCAGTGAGTTCAACAGATTTCCCTCCAAGTAAGTTGTAACCTCAAATAACTCATCCATGAGTTTAAAGATATACCTATGCATTCATCAATTACGTTAGTATCATCTAGGTGGAAACAATTCAAACAAGCAAACCAGCAAAATACTGATTCCATAAAAGAAAACAAGTATAGTAGCATGAATAAGTATCATTATTTTTCTTTTCTGTACTTACATTAATATATTATCCACAACTGGAGCTTTATCAATACACAAATGAAGTTACTACACCACTGTACATTATATTAGTCAAAAGTGCCTGCCATTACTTCAAGCTTATTTATTTCCAATTAATCCTCACAGAAATTAATGAAATATACTTTGGAAATGAATAACAAGTCTTGCTGATTTCAATAGATCATCTGCTATTTTTATTAAAATTGAATTTATTTTATATCAATAACAATTCTGTGCAGAGAAAAGTCAACTTGTTGATTTCAATGGATCAACTCTAAATTTTATTAAAATTAAATGTTTCTTATATCCATAACAGTTCTATGTGGCCAACCTGTAATTCTCCTGATTCTGCTAGACTTTAACTCTGCCAGATACAAATGGGAAATGATGGAAGCCATAGTCCAGCAACATCAGAAGGGTTCCAGGTACTTCATCTATTCTTCAGGGCAGGCAACCTTCTGTCCTCAAGATGTCTCAGGGCCCTTCCACACAGCCATATAACCCGGGATATCCAGGCAGAAAATCCAACAATGTCTGCTTTGAACTGGGATGAGTCCACATTGCCATATATTCTAGTTCGAAGCAGATAATGGAGGATTTTATTCAGCTGTGTGGAAGGGAACTTAGATCATGAATTCCACAGTTCCTGGCCATCCACCACACCTGGGGCATATGAGATTCTCGTCCACACCATTTGTAGATATTTGTGAGATATCAGATTCACATACTTTGGACATATCAGAACTTTATTACTTGCAGAACTATTCACTTTTAAATAATCAAAGTGAAAAGATAGATATAATTTCCAAGATACAACATGACTATACAAGAAATCCTGCTGGATCACCATTCAAAATGCTATTTATAATCTTTAAATCCTGACAGAGCTGAGATTCAGTTTATCTGAAGAGTGTATGCTGGCTATGGAAGTCCCTTGTCAAAGAAGTTAAACTGGCACCCCCTCTATTTTCCTTTCACAGACAAATAAGTACATTTTCATTCTGACAAACATCAATTAATGCCTATATAAGGGTCATTTTACACAATGCAATAGATACTGCTAATTCCTGTGTTGGTGTGTGTGCGCGCTTTAATGGTGTATGTTTTTATCAGATTTTAAATTTTGATGGTTTATCCTGTTTTAACATATATTGTGAATTTCTGACATCTTTTTATGTATTCTGCTGTTTTTTTCTGGGATAAAAATGGGATACAAATAAATACTATCATCATCATCAAGACTGATCTCCTGACAAGCTTACAAGCAATACATGAAGGCCTCTTCGGTTCATCTCATGCATTTTAATTTATGAGGTTCCCATTGATTAAATGAGTCTATCCCATTCAGACTACCAGTTGGGTTTAAGCCAGAAATTTCATCAAGTTATTGTGGTTAACTTTGAGAGATCATATAGTTTTCTAATAGCTTTTTGAAGCAGGTTAGGCCTTGTATATATACATGCAACAAAAAACTTTGGGTATGAGGTATGGAATGGAATCCAAAAATAAACATTTTAAAACAATACACATAAATAGAAGCCATGTATTTACTTATTTTATAATACCAGAAATGGAAACATTTAGAAAATTAATGGCAGCATCCTCGTGACATGTAAAAGAAAACTATTTAAGATAACTGTGATTTGCAACTGTGAACCAATTTCCATCTTTAATTGCAGCATCTATTAAACTATGAGGTGGTCTGATAGTATTTTGTATCTAGTACCCAAAATACTATCAAGAAAGTAGAATAGTCATATTTCCTGACCCACGGACAAAATGCAAGTTGATTATTTTTGCACTATGCTATAGATAATCACAGGGAGCTCTGGCGTGGGCTGGTGCACGAGGTCACGAAGAATTGGAAGCGACTGAACAAATAAACAACAATAGATAATGCAAATAGCTAGGTTCCTTATATTTCGTTGCAAGTTCCTTTTGACAATTCCATTAATATATCAATGTTCCTTGGATGCCCTTCTAAAGAAAAGAGGCTCATATAAATATTTAAAAGAAAAAGCATAGCAGCCTAAATCTAGCCGTTAGTCCAGCTAGAGTACATATACGTATTCAATGGAATCCGTTCTGGAAGGAAATCATAATTGGATTTTAACCAGTAATAGACATACATAATGAACAAGAAATTCTTCCAATCAATCGGATTTTATGTTGAAAACTAAACATATTCTAGAAAATTACTACAATTGGCCCTCCCTATCCATGGATCCATCCACAGCTTGAATTTTTCCATTTCATAGAAGGGACAATATCCCTCTGTATATAAAGGGACAGCCGCAGATTTTGGTATCCATGGAGCCAAACCGAGTGAATACCAAGGACCAATGTATTCTGTTTGGATAATTTTTAGAAAGCAGGATTATGCTAGAATTCAGATGGGTAATATATTTTTGTTAAGGTTTATATATTTTTAATATTTTAGTTTTTGTTTCAAGTTTGTAAATCTTTGTGGCAACAGAAAGATACTGCAACAGATTAAATTAAAAATTAGAACATTCTATACAAAAAATATTAAAAATCAAACAAACGGTTAAAAGATGTATTTACAACAATCCATTTACAGACAGGCAGTTCCCAAGTCACAAACATAATACGTTCGTAGGTACTTCAATTGAATTTGTATATAATTTGGAATAGGTGCTGTGCTGTCAGTTCCCAGATTAGTTAGTTAGTTGTTGGCTTAAAATGGCTTGTCCAAGCCTGGATCTTGTTGGGACGAACTACAGACAAGATTCCCTGGTAGTAATAACCCTAAACTAAAGATGGCTCTCTTTCCCCAGGCAAAAAGGGCGGGCAAACTTGTTGATACAAACCAGGAAGCTCTACCCTCATAAAACTAACAGAAAAGTGACTATTCTCAAACTGTGGGTGAAGCAGCCTATCAAAAAGAGCTGGAACTTATACAGTTCCATCACAGGTACATTTTTAAGTGTAACTCCAGCCTATCTATCTATAACTTTGGATAGCATAGGAAAGGGTTAAGACATTTGTGGTGTTTGTTTTGCTGTCTGTGCCCCTGTTCAGAAAATTTCACATCACTTTATGTCTCTGTCATAACTGGATTTTGAAGGATTTGGCATGCTGTGGAAACAAGGATTGGTGAGAAAGCTTCAGTGGAGACACATTTTCCCCATGATAACTCTTTCGGGAGTTAATTTCCCTTCCTAGTGACAGATTTCTTTCACTTCTTGTTGTCTCAGCTCTAGTCTATGAGTCGTTCATAAGTTGGATATTTGTAACTCGGGGACTGACTATATTTAAATGTTTAAAACAATAAGAATACTGGAAGCTTTTTACTGGAGGAACTAATATATCAGTTAAAAAGGGGAAAGAGAAGAAATAGGAGTGCCTGGAATAAAAGCAGGTTTCATTTACCAAAAATACTGCATGCTAGGGTTACAGTCAGTAATAAATTAGCTCAGATAAGACCAGTACATAATGATATGAAGCACTCTAATTTCCTTTGTATTTTTGTATATAGAATCAAAGTATCAAAGAGTTGGAAGAGACCTCATGGGCCATCCAGTCCAACCCCCTTCCAACAAGCAGGAATATTGCATTCAAATCACCCCTGACATATGGCCATCCAGCCTCTGTTTAAAAGCTTCCAAAGAAGGAGCCTCCACCAGGGCAGAGAGTTCCTTATGAAAATGTGTTGTAAAGGTTATAAAATGTAGCCCATTATAATGGCTGCAATGCAAAAAGCACACTTATACATAAATAATTATATTATAACGTAAACAAGAAAGAAGACACAAATAATTCTTTTTAATGTTAACAATTAATTCCCAATACTACCTTTCCCAGACACCTGAAAACTCGGTTAAGATATTTAAATTGTCACTTATAAATGTAGATAATGCCAGCTCTCACTGTGTTTGCTGTCTAAGAGAAAACATTTCACTTTATTCTATTCAGAGATTAATAACTTACTTTGCAACCTTCGTGTGGGACTCTCCCCATGAAGCTGTCGGCGTGGCAAATATGGTGAAGGGTGGGGAAGTGGCAATGAAGAGACATCGTGCGTCTGGAGTTTGTACCAGTGGGGCTCATCATCTAGCAGTGCTGTCTCTAATTCAATTAGAATCTAAAATGGGAGTCAAAGGGATCAATTAAATTCCAAAAATTGCATTAAAATTGTAAGCTCTAAAATATACTTTATATTATATTCATATATGTCTTCATTCAGAATCAATTTAACAATCACACTGGTTTCATAGCAAATGCATTTTTGAGATACCTATCATGAACAAAGCATTTAAATATGGAGAGCTTGTTACCAAAAGCTAAAGCAATTAACAGTGCAACTTATCCAATGTGAGGATAAGATTACCAATGTTGCCAATATGTGTGTTTTCCTGATTTAGAATACAAAAATGCTCCAGCCCATAATGTCCACTCAATCACTTACTTCCAAAAAGCTTTTTGGCTCAGAAAGTATGCTGAGGTTAGAGAAAAAAGGAGTTGGCGATGCCAATCACTCAAGAGCTTTTTCTCCTACTGCCAATAAAGACAAATGTTCTATTGTCTGTTTTCAAGCTGCTCTCAAGTTTCTCTCATTTCCCTACGCCTTATGAAAACCTTCCATGCAAGTAATTTCCACTGCCAAATTTTACTGAAGCAGAAACACAGGGTCTCCACTGCCACCCGCTCCCCTCTACTGAGAGTGGGGAAATGCCTTCTGCTTGCTCCACCACAATTTGGGGGGGGGGGGGCTTCTGCTGTTACAACCAGAAAGTAGTTTTGAGGAAGGCTGGCACATGAGTTTCTACTGGAAGAAAGGCATTTCTGCTAATGTGACTCCCATGTAATCCAAATTCCCTCGTGGCGAGGTGCAAAGTTTTGTACAAGTGAGAGTGCCTTGCTGGCCAGTTGTTATGGCACTAGTGGAGGATCCCGGGGGCATCTATAGTGGAACAAGAGCTTGTCTTAAATAGGGTGATCCCTCTCTGTCTGAACTGTCAGACTCTAGGGTGCAGGCATGTAGCCGGGGGGGGGGGGGGGCTTGAGGGGGCTTCAGCCCCCCCCCCGAAATTCTCATGGTGGTTCGCGAAAAGGCCTTACTGGTGCATTATTTAAACTGTTATGTTTATTCATATCATGATCTGATCACTATACTCAATATATCCCATATGCATGGGGGTATTGGGGTAACGATACAAAAGGTTTGCTAGGGTAGACCCTCTTTCACTCAGACTCAGCCCCCCCCCAACCAAACTCAGCCCCCCCCCACCGAATTGAAATCCTGGCTACAGGCTTGCTAGGGTGGGTTATGACAGGCAGACAAAAACTGTACTTTTGCTGTCGCAGCTTCAAGCAACACCAGGGGAGGGGGGACCCTGAATGACCCAGAAACAGGATCTGTCCCTCCCCCATATGGCTCCTAGCATCTCAGTCATGACACACTCCTACACACATCCTCCCAGGAAGATTCCCGCAGGTAGAGTAGAGACTAGCCTTTAACAGAAGTTTAAAAAGATCCAGTCAGCTACTGACCAAGGACCATCTTGGCCTAGTCCACAGGCAAAATAGTATCATTCCAGTAAATACATATGCAAGGAACCAACTATTTGTTAGGGGAAAGTACCCTAAAATAAAGCAGAGCATCCAAATATCAAACACGATATAAAATTTGAGCATCGGTTTATTAGCGAGCAGAGAGTGAAGTCCCGTGTGATGTGGGTGTAAAGAATTTAGAGCTTAGGCAGACAAAGCTGTAGAGTCCAATCTTTAAAAATCACAAAAGGTTTATTTACAATAATAAGAACTAACTGCATTTCTTAATAATCAAGAACTGGGTCTGAGCTACTCTAATTCCCATCTATTCTAAGGTTTCAAGAGAGGGAAAAACTCAATCACTACATCTCTCCTGACACACAAACAGAGAGAGATCTCAAAGCACACAGCACATACTCTCCATACTAAAGCGTAAGAAGGCAGAAGGCAGATTCAAAAAACTAGCAGTAGAAAAGTAACCATTTAAAACAACCAATCAGAATGAGAGCAGAAACAGGGAAAAGAAAAAGATAAATTCCCAACTGTCATACAGGAGACATAGGGGAAGGGAAACCCTGAGACTATTGTAATGTTAACTAGCTTATCCTCATTGAGGACTGCAGACATGAGCAGTGTGGGGTAGGATTCCAACAGTATTCATAACATTAATTACTCTACTTGTTTTGTTGTGCATTGTTATTTATACTGCAGATGACATTATGGTCTTTATGACTGCCAGTTTTCTTTTGCGTATTTAGTATAGAGAAAAGGGATAAGCAAAATGCAGCACGTGAACTTCATGTGGCTCTTTAAACTCTAATATCCAGCCCTCAAAAGCCCATTAAAGCCCCGAAGGAACCAAGCCTCCAATTTAAAAGAAATGGACTATATATGTGCCCAAAGTTCCCAAGATCAATCAAATTACTGCAACATGCAGTGGTTTTGCCTCCACAACTCCCAAATCCCTACATACCTTGTAATAAAACAACAAACACATTCAGATAAACAAAAATCAGCCAAAATATATCTGGAATGAAATGATATTGGCCATGCCATATTGTATTCCAGTAGGTGAGTGGGAAAGGGCTCCCACTGCCTCAGCAGTTGTCCATCACTGCTGTCGAGGATGACCTTGTGTCAATTCAACCCTTATCACATGTTGACTACTTTTGCACATTGCTGATTCAGCACTTGGTGAATGACAGCAGACATTTGGGGAGAATCTTTTTGAGCTGCTTTTATCCTTCTGTTTACTGATAAAACCTACTTTCCTCTTGAGAGCATGTAAACAAAATCTCCGCTACTTTATGCCAGCATCAGCAAACAGATATGCTTTCTTTGCCCAATAGCACAGAATTTTATTCGGTCAGATTTCTTAAGGATGACTTTAAAATATTCATTCATTGTAAACTATTGAATAACACTGCATACCTCTCCCAAAAATTCACTTTCTTCCTCACGAACCCGCGCTTGGTCCCAAAGAGTAATTTCCAACATTCGTTCTCTAAATTCCCTCCGATGAACTGGAGAATAAATAAATGTTTGGTTCCATTTTGGTTCCAAAGTTTTCTTTACTGTTTTTGTTCTTCTTTTATTCTTATCACTGAAATTGAGATATATGAAATGAAAGCATTGTTATTCTATTAAACACTGATTGTATAAAATAACATTTATCTGGTTGTTGGTTGGATTCAGGAAGTTCTCTGTTCATATATATATATATAGAGAGAGAGAGAGAGAGAGAGAGAGAGAGAATCAAGACAAAAACACTATGTCATTTTCATATGGAAACATGAATCTTATATACTAAACGTATCTGCTTCTGTACGATTGTACTAATGATTTGGCATGAATATAACATACTACTATCCAAACAGCTTTTTTAGGGATGCCTAATATCAAAAATTTTAAAAGAGACATTTGTGTCATATTGCAAACAGAATTTCAGGCCCAAAAATGACTTGTCATATGACATTTGGGATGGCTCTTTCTGAAACAAAGGTTCAACACACACTCTGTCCTTTCAGTGAATCCCTTTAGTTTATCTGCTAGTATGAAGAAAATAATTTTGTAATGTAGAGTCTAAAGCTTACTAGATTTATTGCAATCTAAGCATATACAAAACTACTTAAGCCACAATAAAGTCTGTTAATTTAAAAAAAAAATCTGTATGTCTTTAAGTTCATTTTTGTTTATTTAACTTTTGTACAACAATATGAATATTCTTCATCCTCACAATACTTAGATCTTATGTATGACAAATCCATTTCAGTTCTAGGTTGAAACACAACCAATGTGGAAAAATCAAGTCCGCATGTGTCAATGGTCATGTAAAGCAATGTATAGTTGGGTGGGCCTGAGGTTTTTTATAGTGAAATAAGAAAGAATTGAAACATCAAAAGTGGAAAAAGTTTTTTTATTTTGTTTATTTGTTCAGTCGCTTCTGACACTTATTGACCTCAAAGACAAGGAAAAAGTTAACACTTCATTAATAGTGGCTATTAAACAACTCAATAAGGAACTCCATTGGTTGCCGTTCATTTTCCGGTCCCATTCAAGGTGCAGGCTATCAGATACAAAGCCCTGAATGGTTTGGGACCCACCTATCTTCGTGACCACGTTTCCTTTGACAATCCTGCACGATCTCTTCGATCCTCGGGGGAGGCCCTCCTCTCGCTCCCACCTCCATCATAAGTGCAACTTGTAGGGACGAGGGAGAGAGCCTTTTCTGTTGTGGCCCCTCGGCTTTGGAACTCGCTACCTAGTGAGATTAGGCAAGCCCCCACTCTGGCAGGTTTCAAGACTGACGAGTGAACACATATTGCCATATCATGTCCATCCCAACTATAATTCTGTCCTCATGATGCACCTTCCCTTGTCTTTAATGAAAGCTCAATCCCATTGTTCGCCCCTTCTGAGCTCCCCCACAGACACATACTTCTCCATTTACTTATCTCACCCTGGGTTTTATCAATCTTATTCTGTGCATTTGGCCTGCCCGCTGTGCTTTTATTTTATTTCTTCATCACATTAGTTATGTTATTTTATGTATTTTATTTTGATGTTATTATTTGCTGTTTGTATTTTATTTTATTTTGTTGTATTATAATTCTGGGCTTGGCCTCATGTTAGCCGCCCTGAGCCCCCTTTGAGGAGAGGGTGGTGGGGTATAAATAATAATAGTTATTATTATCATCATCATCATCATCATTATTATTTATGTTAATATTGCTTAGAATGTTACTTTAAAAATAGTCAGGTACCATTCCAATACCCAAATAAATGGTAGCAATGGCTTTCCTGTTAACAATCTAGTTGCTTTTTTAAAAAGGTAAACTTATTGTAAGTATGATAATTACCAAAAAACAAAAAAAAACCAGGAAATCATTTCTACACTAGAAGTGGAATTCAGTTGTGCAAGGGAAAAGGGAAACACAGAAAATATTTCAAATAAAGCAGATCCTTAACCAAGGAGATCATGGCCTTTCCAGTTTTGAAACTGAATCTGTCTGTTTGAAATGTAAAAAAATAATGAATGGCTTAAAAATTGTGCTATATGGTATGGCAGTGGAATCAATTTCTTCAGACAATTTCCAATATTTTAAAAATGTTCCTAAGAAATGGCAATATGTTCAAAAGTGACTTTTAAGTTTTCAAAGAGAAGATTTCTCGATTTCATTTATGGTAGTGAATTGTGGTTGTGAATCTTTGGTCTTTCTGTATAAAATTTATTTGCTCTTCTGTATAAAATTAACAATAGTCTTTCGCTATTGCGATAGAAGGGCCCCTGAGGACAGTTGGAAATAAATATCATGCTTAATTTTGAAATATGTAGCATGCTTTGGGCATTTTAATCACTACAGTTTTACTGAACTGGCCATGTTTAATTGCCCCGTTCCCTAAATGTTTGTTTAATCAGATGCTGTTGTGATTTGTAATTAAGGGAGTTAAACTTAGTCCGCTAACCTGGTACAATAACTTCCAAATATTTTACGAAATTAACTGTGACTCAGAAACCTGTGATTTGATGTAATATTTCTCTGTTGTTTCCATAACAAGACTAACTATTTCAGAATTCATGCCTGTATGTTTACAGGCCTTGAAGAAGAAATCCTACTCAAGACTACAGAAAGTCTTAGCAGTGTCAAAGAATGCTATGCTTAAAAACCGAATTTATTATTTAATTGTGATACATTACATTGCATGGCTTTCTTACAAAATATGACTTTTGTCTAGCTTTCATAAATCTCCATTTCCTGTTGTCTATATAGGTTCCAGCTATATGCCCCCATGTTTTTAGGTTAATTGTCTCATTTACAACTTTGTATCCTGGTTAATTAGTGTACCGGAACAGTAGGCATTAACCTCCTTAAAAATATTTGTTTGTTTTATCTATCAAGACTATTCTAGTAAGCTAGGACAAGTTGAGAACTACTTTACAATTTTGAAACTGAATAGAAAGCCCTCAATATTAGGAGATTTGTGTACACTTTTTGGGGTGGGGGCTCTTTAAAGTCAGGCAATGATACTTAATGGTGAAGATCTCAAAATCACAGATATCAATAATAATAACAACAACAACAACAACAACAAGTTTATTCTTATACGCTGCTACCATCTCCCCAGAGGGACTCGGGGTGGCTTACATGGGAACCAACTAATCACAATCAAAACATATAACAGATAAACAACATAATTAAAACAATTTTAAACCAGAAAAATAAAAACACCATAAAAATACATAAAACGACATAAACAACCAGTAGCCTGAAAAAGTGGGCATGTTCAGACTTTGGGGGCAGGCAGGGCAGGGGCTTCTGCAAAACGCAGACTATAGAGCTAAGGTTGGGAATAAGGTGCTGGAAAAAAGTTCTGCAAAAAACAAACCCATAAATTAGGGCTGGGCAGATCTGATCAGGAGCTAAACTGTAGTTATTCAAAGGCACTTTGGAACATCCAAGTTTTCAAATCTTTACAGAAGGTGGACAGTGTGGGGAGAGCAACATCTAGAAAATGTGTTCTGCTCTCCCTGGATTCCACCCCCATTGACTTGAGACTAGTGAATACTTGGCATGAAATACAATCAGATGAGAAGGATTATTCCTTCTTTTACGTGAGCTTCTTTTACATGAGCTATATAAAGTTTACGATTTATTGATTTCCAATCACTAGAAAGACTTTTTATGAAGGACCATGTTAAACCACACTCCACTTGAAGAAGCTATTCACATAAGTTCCCAAATCTTTCTCATTGTCACTGAATCCTAGTCTTCTTCCCAGATCTAGAAACAAACTAAAAAAAAATATACATTCATAATGTAAAGAATTCTATCCTTAACCACCACAAAAATGGAAATTCAAATTATATTATGAAAAAAGATAGAAAATGCATATTACCATCATTAAAGGTAATACTGGGAGATCTACCACATCACTAAAATTAATTAAATATTCAAAAGTTTTTGTTGTTGTTTATTCCTTCAGTCACTTCCAACTCCTCGTGACCTCATGGACCAGCCCACGCCAGAGCTCCCTATCGGCCATCACCACCCCCAGCTCCTTCAGAATCAACCCAGTCACTTCAAGGATACCATCCATCCATCTTGCCCTTGGTCGGCCCCTCTTCCTTTTTTCCTTCCATTTTCCCCAGCATCATTGTCTTCTCTAAGCCTTCCTTTCTTCTCATGATGTGGCCAAAGTACTTTATCTTTGCTTCTAATAGTCTTCCCTCCAATGAGCAGTTGGGTTTTATTTCCTGAAGTATGGAAATCTATATATCTCTGTGTCCCCCAATGAATTAGCTATGAGTGAAATTTCATACAAAGAATACGAGAAGACACTATTTAAATGAGAATTGATTTATTCTTCTATCTATTACCCCTAATCAATTTCCTTTGGACAGAAAAAAACTTTCTAGTTATTTTTATGGGGAAAAAAATCTATATAGTAAAAGCCATTAGACTGTGGTACAAAACACACTCTCCTCCTTTTATCTTCTTCACTACCTCTTTATTGTTTATTAAAGACCACAACAAAGCATGAGGCGGCACATCTACTGAAACCCCTCTGTCTAACTATAAAAGAAGATACACTCACACTGCAAAAATTGCAGTATAGAATAGTAACACAATGCAGTAACGTCATAGTAACTGAAGAAAGCAATCAATTACAAATAACAGTTTACTTACAACTAGTTACTTCTAAGGAATATTAACCTCATTGCATAAAATCAATTAACATATATAGTTAATCATTTGCTAATGGCTGGTGAAATGGGTCATCCCTGCAAAGTTATCTGTAGTACAACCTAAACAGGATGTAATTAGTGGGCACTGGCTGTACTTTTATATTTCAGTTCTCTCTCACTATATTCAATTCTCCCAATCAAGCTATGTGTGCTTAACTCTTCCAACTTATGTTACACTTCCTGCATCTGAGGAAATAGGCTGAGATCTATATTGATTTGCCCCCGGTGGCATAATGGGTTAAACCCTTGTGCCAGCAGGACTGAAGATGGACAGGTCAGAGGTTCGAATCTAGGGAGTGAGCGGATGAGCTCCCTCTGCCAGCTCCAGCTCCCTCTGCGGGGACATGAGAGAAGCCTCCCACAAGGATGGTAAAATATCAAACATCCACTGAGCAACATCCTTGTAGATGGCCCATTCTTTCCCACCAGAAGCGACTTGCAGTTTCTCAAATTGCCCCTGACACGAAGGAAAAAAAATAGATTTCCACAAACTGCTGTTTCTAGGAATGGTCACTTACGCTTTTTCTATAGGTAGTATTATACCAGGATATGTTGGTTTTGTCTATCGTACTGATGATTTTATATCAGCAATGAAGGAGAATTGGACTAGGTTATACTGGACAAGTTTCTCCTTCAAACTTGTTTCGTCAGAGCTTCACATCCTTACCCAATTAAATGTTCGAGCTGTTTAATTGCACTTTAACAGGTTATTTTTCCATATGAAAGAGAAGTATTTTTGCCTACTAAGCTTATTCCTTAGAGGGAAGAGCCGAGAGAGACTGCTTTGTTGTCAAGCAAAATAATTCAATAGGACAAGCTGCTGCTTCTTTAAACTTGAAAGGAAGCACTAGGAGTAATTAAAGGAAAACCTCAACATTGCCTGTCTTAAAAGAAAAGGCAATTCCTGTGAAACTTCTAAAACAGGAACTATTATAACTTCAAAGTACATGCATTTTAGTGGTTTCCAAATTATTTAATAACAGAATATTTTTGTCATGTAGTACATACCATATAGATGCAAAAGGTAAATCTTATGAAAAATATTGACATTAATATAGCTGTTATAGCACTAATGTTGAATTCGGTGCAATGGATGCTTGAGGCTATTATGAAATAGAACACATAAAATGATAATCCACAAAAGCTCATGCTGCGTCAATGAGGGTAAAAGAAAAATTATTCTGCGAACTTAATTATCTTTTATATACATGTGGGGAAGAAGCTGCCCACTTCCATACACTATAACCATCATATGCTTCCTTCATATACCTATACACCATGAGAACTGAAGACTGAACTATATATGATATTAAGGCTGGATCTACACTGGCCTATATCCCAAGATCTGATCCCAGATTATTTGCTTATCCCATATTATTTGGCAGTGTGGACTCATAATCCAGTTCAGAGCAGATAACTTGGGATCTGATCCTGGGATATAAGGCAGTGTAGATCCAGCCTAAGTCATCACCATTCTATACCTATGAAAAAATTGTATTAGCTAGAGAAATATTTAGTGGTAGCAGTCTCTTTCATCTTTTCTAACAAGCTAATTGCCATGCAAGATTATGGCTAGGAAAAGAGGAGACTTTAAATTGTGTTTAATATTACCAAAACTAAAACTTTATTTTACTGGCTCTTAGGCCCCTTCCACACTGCTCTATATCCTAGGGTCGGATACCAGATTATCAACTTTAAACTAGATTATATGAGTCTCCACTGCCAGGTAATCTGGGATAAGAAGATAATCTGGGTTCAGATTCTGGGCTATAGGACAGTGTGGAAGGGGCCTTAATCTCTCCACCTTTCTACTATTCCTTCCATTCCTTTTGCCTTTTGTCCTTCCACAATTTCTGCTCCTCTCTTTGTTGATGGAAGTTTTTTGTGGAGGGAGGGAGCAAAGCTGATCACAACCAGAACCCTAATAGCTAGAGTCCCTGAAATGGATCTGTGGAGGGATGTCATAAGAGAAGCACATATGTGCAGGGCTCAATTTTTTATTTGTCAATATTGGACACTTAGAGCATTCGATGGGAGCTGCTCTTTCATGTCAAATGCCAGCAACTGTTCACTATATCCTGCATATAAATTAAAAGATAGAGTAATAAATTGTGGGTTTGTTTAATCCTCTTGTTATAAGAACACATCCTGTTTTTTTCCATATTCTATCCTGATAGTTGCCTCACGTTCATTACAGAGATTACCCATCAAAAAGTTCATTTATTTTAGAAAAAGAATTTTAAAAGACTAATCAAAGGTTAGGCAGTGGAAATGGATTGTCACGATCTCCTTGGCACCTACCATCTCCCCTTCTCTCTAGATCTGAGCACAAAGTACCTTATTTTTCTCCAATACTGAGGATCTACATGTCAACAAAGTAATACAACCAATAATCTTGTTATATAAAGGATAATAAGAAATAGTAAGTATATACAAGAAATAAAATTACAGATGGTAAGAAAGATTCTAAAGACAGAGAAATTGAAAACAAAAAAGGAATGTTCCAGAATACTGTTGATTCAGTGACACAGGAGACAAACTGTAATAAATGTGTATTAAATAGAGATGGAATTCCACCCAAAACATGCTCACTTCGTTTTTAAAAGTCCCAAATGGTCATTATAGAAGCATACAATTCTGTTATATGTGAGTCACAATTATCACAAAAGAGAAATAAAGGCTTGTTTTGCAGATTACTGTTTCTCAGTTCTTTAGAGAAACTTTAACTTTGAAGAACCAGTCATATCTAATTCTTAGTATTCACATGTAAACAGTTTGAAAGTTACAAATATATGATTACTCAGCAGTATGGAGGTGCTTATTACACATTTGAAAATGAGTATTAATATGTAATGCTACTTTTTCTTCCATTCTAGGAAGACAATGGCAATCATTATTTTTTTATTTCTGAAAGTCAAACAGTAGTCATATATTGTTGAAGGCTTTCATGGTCAGAATCACTGGGTTGTTGTGAGTTTTCCGGGCTGTATGGCCATGTCTTAGAAGCTTTCTCTCCTGACGTTTCACCTGGATCCTCTGAGGATGCCTGCCATTGATGCAGGTGAGACGTCAGGAAAGAATGCTTCTGGAGCATGACCATACAGTCCAGAAAACTCACAACAACCCAGTAGTTATATAACTCCAGTATTTAACAGAATTTGTGCCATTATATGATATTCTCACACTAAGGTGCTACTCATTCTTGTGCTACTACTTTTACACACAAACACACATTTTTTCTAACAATAGCTATAATTAACAACACTACTATATATAAAAAAGCATTAACATCTGCTAAATTAATCAAAACTTTCCTTCATCCTACCTTCTGTCAGGAAGAAAGTAAATTTTAACATAAGGATTTCTTGGCCTCCCATCTTCCCTTGAAGGAAGATCCTTTGCTCCCAAAATTGTGACTATCAATTGATGACCAACCTTGTCATACCACAGTTTTATCTGTAATGAGAAAATATACATCAATCAGCCATTTTTTCATTGTACCGGTAAACTTTCAATAAATATTGTTTTTAGCTTTTAGCTACGTGGCTCTTTTGATACTGCAATGGAAATATTGTATCATTCTGATTTGTGATATTAAGTTGCAAAATAAGATGATATGATACAATATATGCCATGAAATGAATTTTCTACAGATGTTCTGGTTAAATAGTAGCCATTTACACAGAAAAGCATTGTTTACTTCTATTGTGCTGCTTACACCAGTTTGTTAAACCCGAACCTCCCATTTTAGTTCAGAGTTAAAGAGAATTGTGACTCTTGGAAGACTCAGTGAGGAGCATTATTCCTTTGAAAGAAAGGAATGTTACAATTACAAAGAAAGATCAACGCCCCACACCCCACATTTTGTCATCAAAGTGCATTTTTGCAAAAAAGGAAAGTGGACTTCTGACTGTTTCTGATTTCAGTTGCCATGGCGGGTTCTAAGGGAAAACTAGCTTCAAACTCACTTAGGTTGATCGCCCTGCTGGAAACAATATGTGCTCATAAATAATAACCTATTCCTTATATTGATTATTAAATATCAAGGGCTATAAAATAAAGTTGCAGGCAATATATACCTATTCACTATATAACTATTCATATTACTGTAACAGATCTATTGAAGTACCTATGCATCTAGATTACTGAGATTTTTTCCTGCATTCAAGTATATGGTTAATATACAAGTATATGGTTAATATCTTAATGCTCCAACTTATTACTTAAAACAATATGGCAACCACGTAACTTTTTCTTTAAAGTCATATGGTAAATTCATCTTAGAATTAATACAGTAATGTAACAAATATTTTCTTATCCTAGTTTAATCATTATGCTTCCCAACAATTCTATATAGGTAGTTCCCAAGTTACGAACAAGATAGGTGTAGGTGAATTTCCCTTCCTAGGGATAGATTTATCTCACTTCCTGTTTTCTCAGCCCTGTTCTTAACTATGAGTCAAATGTTTGTAACTTGGGGACTGCCTGTATACAAAAAAAGAAGGAGATTAGAAGGAAATCACACAGTGGTGTGTTTTTCCGTATCTGCAATTACCAAATGCAGGATGAAGAGAAAATATATACATGTCGCTGGCTTTGTAGAAAGAATTGCTGCTTTTGGTGGTAGCAGGAGTTTTCACCATAAAGTGTTTCCCCACACTCAATAGAAAAGGGGCCACCATGTCAAGCCAAGTCTCTCTACATCCATTGATATCAGTGGTTCTCAAATTGTGGGTCCCCAGTGATTGGGCATACAACTCCCAGAAATCCCAGCTGTTAGGATTTCTGTGAGTTGAAGGCTAAAACATCTGGGGAACCACAAGTTGAAAACCACTGATCTAGATATTCCTAATTCAAATTACTGGTAATGCTCATCTTCAACATATGAATAATGCAATAATAATTTAAAGATATTTTGATTCACTTCCAGTGCACAACAACAAACATCTACTAAAAATATATATTCTTTTGTATTCAACAGTTTACACCCAGTGTTTATAGTATTGCATCTTAAAATTTAGTATTTATATGAACAAAAAGGCACATACTAGTTTCTTCATTCAGTATGATTTCTTTTTATAACACTCTGATTAGATATAGTATTGTAGCTACTTTAGTGACAATATCATTAAATGAGTCATACTATATTTCATATAATTCTCAAGACTTTCAAGTAGAACATATCTAAAGCTGAACTGAAGCTCTTGCTTAGATAATTATTTAATATCAGTGCTTTTACTCCTACCTTTAAAATGCCTACTAAACATGAATACCTAAAACCTCTGTTATGATTGATTATTAAGAACCCTTATTTTTTGCCCTAATTTTTTCATTTTGATGACATAATAAATTGTGAAAACAGTATGACATGTAATGCTAGCCAAAAAGTTGAGGTCAATAGGTTTTATATGTAGACCATCTGTATAGCAGTTGTTGTCTGTGACTTATTTCACACAGTAGGGATGGAAAACACTATTATGACCTGAAATATTCCACTTTGATTTTCCTAAGCCATAAACAGTATAAAAAGTATTAACATATAAAGCATTTATACAAATGATTACAATTTCTCCAAATATATTTTGCAACAAAAGCAAGTAATGTTCTCTATACAAAAAAATAAAAATAAAAAAGGAGAGCATGCAGCAAAGCAAGATAAGCATAATGACATTCTTGCAACCTACAATTGGGTTAATCTACAATACCTTAAGGGATTCCTAGAGAAAAAAGGCAAACAACTTGTACCCAAATAAGATCATAGAACATAGTCGGTACTAGGCATCATTTAAAGAAAATATTGAACTTGTATTCAGAATTTGAAACAATGCGTCAAAATGCAAGCAAGGGGCAAATTTGTTATACAAGGTACAAATTTATTTGCCCATCTTCTACTCAAGAAACTACTGTCATTTGGAAAATGCAAAAAAGGAAGAGTTAAATAATGAAAATGAATGATTTAAAGAGACACCAACCTTGATCTAATGAGTTCCTAAATCATAAACACAAGTTCCCTTATTACTCATTCAAGGTATGCATTATGTGAGACGTGGAGTGATTATCACTGTTGACATCTGTTTTTGTTTAATTCAATATAATTAGATATAGATAAAAAGGAAAACTAAAACCAGTTGTCTCTTTAAATGTTAATTTAATATTCTGATCTTCATGCATTACTTTTCAAGCTGCTCACAAGACAACATGGATTTTGTTAATATGGTCTGAAGCAACATATTAAAAAAATTAAAATTGGAAAACGGATCAAAAGTATGACGTTTTCCTACTATGCATTTTCCAAGACAAATAAAAGAGAGAGAAAAACACAACTTTAGTTTCTGTTGGACAGATGAAGCCTTTACCTGAACCCTAGGAACAAAAGGCGCTGTTCTTCTACTAAGGCTTTGGCTCTGGTAAGCAAAATTAAAGAAAAAGCAATAAAACAAAACCAAAAAGACAACACGCTGGAAACTAAAAGACCAAAAGTAAAATGAGGACAAACAACTTTCAACACAGCTGTACACCAATGTCATGTTCATCATTAAGAAAAACTTTAAAATGCAGTGTATATGGTAAACCTGCATTATGGTCTTATACTAATTGAATTTTTATTTAAATAAAAAAGCCTAACCATTTTCACATTATTAAAAGTGTCTGTTTAAAAAAGTGTCCCAGCCTTATTCAGCATTGATCAAAATTTGTCGTTTTTTCAATAGTACTATTCATAGATTTCTACATATCTGTCATAATAGAGGTCACTTGAGAGGCAAGTCATTAACAGTACATTCGTATATCTGCTAGAGAGGCATAACATTCATAATGAGTATTACTCCCAGGTAAAAATACAGTTCTATATCCATTTCCTAGAGAGTAAGTCCCATTGAAATAAATGGGATTTCCTTTTTCATAAACTAGCAAAGTGTTGCTCTGTAAGATATATAATAATCAGATTTATAGTATAAAACATGAGAAATCACTCATTAATAGAACCAATATTTTCAATATTAAATGATTCAATGGTAATTTTTCTACAGTTTAGTTAGACACTGATGCACTTGTAAATTTATGCTATTCCAATATTCTCAGCATTAAGCACATGCCAAAAGGTAATAATATAACAGTGAGTGACTTAAAAGTGCCTTTTCCTCAGCACTGAGCCAATAAAGTCATTTGTGATTATAAAGCAAGGGTTTCCAAGCAAGCTTTGGACTCTATAACTAATATCTGAGAAATTAACGTTAAATGGAAATCGAAATCTAATACAGACCTATCAACCTTAGCAAAAAGTATTTAGGGTGCAATTAATAGTATTTTGACACATAATTTGTTGTGCAAATTGTAATAAAACAGGATCTCAAGCTTTGAAATCCTTAAAAAACACAACTTATGTTGGATTGACCCCCACAGGGCCCTCACCTGGAAAGATCCAGACCTTACCTTAAGGTTCCGTTCTTTCCAGGTATTTTATTAATCCAGAGCAAACTGGGAAAGCCCAGTTTTCTCCAGATTAATTTGGTTTTACTTGAGATGCTTCACGTAAAACCGAGAAAGGTCCCGCGTTTTGGGCCTGTGTAGAAGGGTCCTAAGTGAACTATTAATAAGAAATACATTTGAGCGTAACTTAAGTATAGGAAAACATAAGTTAGTGTTTCATGCCTTATTTCCTGATCACAGAGGAGCTAACAGTCATTTCCTTCAGAGGAAAAAAAATATAGTTTCTTTATAATAGTTCACATATTTAGCAGGCATTGCGAGGGAAAACAAAAACAAAAAAAAGAAGCAGTATTAGTCTTGAAGCAATGCCAGGACTCTATATTTCTAAAACAAGTTCCCAAATTAAATGTAAACATTACTTCCTCGGTCACTTCCTTTTCTTTCTATCTGCACTCTTACATACAGATGTGATTCAAGTATTTTTAATAATGTATATTTGCCTTGTTACAATTAGTCATTGGTCAAAAGGAAGAATTATTTTGTTTTGAATGTCTTAGAGTGAGCCAATCTACAAATGCAACTAGCACTTGTGAAGATAGCCAAAGCAATGATTGGAAGCCAATAACACTAAAAAGAAGCAAAAATGAAATAACATGGTCAAACGGATTCTACACTTTATTTTGAAATGAAAAGAGAGTAAATAAATTGCATGCACATCTCTTGAGCAAGACTAACAAACTCCAATCAAAACATCGTTTTAATTTTAATTGAGTCTGGGTGACAAGGCGAACTAGAGAATACAAGAACTATGACTTTATGGTTGCAAGCTGCATGCTAATACATGTTGTTAAACCATTTTCATTTGCAGCATCAGCTAAAAATACCGCAAATGTTTGACCTGTACAAACATTTGTATTTTCATTTGGGTTTATCCTGGCAAATCCTTTAAGAATCGAGGATTTGTTTTGGGCTTCTCTGGCTAATTAATAAAGATACACTCACAAATCACAGGTTCCATACCAACATTACTAAATTACTCCTGACATTGAATGTTAGTCCTTTGAAACAATATGCGGAAGAAATTCCATACTTATGGGACAGGCCTTAACAGTACTTTGCCGCACACTTTAATGATATGGAATTAGGGCAACCTTAGAAGATTATGAGACTATATTGCAGAGTAGGTGTAGCATGTAAAGCCCAAGCCATGTAAGCTTTTGAAAGGAGAATAAGAACTTTACATTTCTTTCAGAAGAGAAGGCAGTATAGATACTAGAATTTTGAAATAATCAATCAGTGGCTGATACCAGATGAGAAACTCCCTCCTGGACACACAGAAGCCTGGGCGACTTGGAAAGCGCTTAATAGACTTCACTCTGGTACCACGGAGATGCTGAGCCAATCTTAAGAAATGGGGCTACAAAGTGCAGTCCACGTCATGCAAGCGTGGAGAAGAGCAAACCACAGACCACTTACTACAATGCAATCTGAGCCCTGCCACATGCACAATGGAGGTCCTTCTTATAGCGACACCAGAGGCACTCCAAGTGGCCAGCTTCTGGTCAAAGAAAATTTAGTGTAATGCCAAGTTTTTAACTTTGTTTGTGGTCTTTTATACTTTTTAACTATCATCTCAATTTGCTTCTGACTCAATAAAATAAATACAATCTACACTGACCATTTAATGAAGTTTCAAATCAGGATTGAAAAAAAAAATTAAGCTGTGCAGATGATTATGTAGGATATTCTGGAGCCAGTTTGAAGCCAGGATGGTGATTACACAAATCATAGAACACTGATGAGCATTATGAGATTTCTTTTGCACAGTTTTGTCTAGTGATTATCTAGTCACCACAGTTTGAAGCTACTTCTGAACTGCATTAAATGGTCAGTGTAGATGGGGCCCCGAGAAATACACTTTGTTGGGAAACTGGGTCATTATACACTATATCGTCTATAATTTCTTAATGAGAATTATATGAAAAGTTATGTAGTTCAAATTCAATAGTCATATCTCAAAGTACTGTCAGAGTTGTGAGTCATCATAGTAGTGCCTGAATTGTAGTCCAATATTCTCCACGATTATGGGTTAGAATCCTCTTGGCTTCTCCCAAATAGAGTAGAACCACTGAATCAATCAACTAGTGTTTCAATACATAAAGTGATTCAAAGAATCTCTTCCACTTGGGAGGAGCAAGAAGGTTTAGATCATGAGCTCAACAATACCTGTAGCAAAGAGTCATGTAAGTACTCATAGAATAATTAAGCATAGAATCACACAGCTGGAGGAGACCACAAGGGTCATTCAATCCAACCCTCTGCCATGCAGGAATACAGAATTAAAGCACCCCTAATAGCAGCCACCCAGATTCTGTTTAAAATTTTCAGAGAAGGAGACTTCACCACACCCTGAGGTTGCATAATCCATTATCAAAGAGCTCTTATCATTAGAAAGTTTTTCCTAATTCTTAGGTGGAATCACTTTTCCTGTAGTAGGAATCCATTGCTCCGTGTCTTAGACTTTGGAGTAGCAGAAAACAAGCTTACTCCATCTTCAATATGACATCCGTACCAATATTTCAACATGACTGTCATGATACTTCCTAACCTTCTCTTCTCCTAGCTAAACGGACCTAGCTCCCTAAGCTCCTGTGTTAATAATTGAGGACAGACTGCTCCACTCTGTCCAAGAAAACTACAAACTCCCTAATATGCTGAGGAGTAGCTACACAGGTTGCTAGACCTCCTATTCTAGCAGGGACACAACTGTATTTGTTGCAGATATTGATCAATATAGCTACTCACATCCTCCAGCAAGTACACAAACATACTACAGCTATTACAGGTGACTACAGTAGCTCCCTTACCATCCACATTCAAAGTTCTAAGTAGGCAATAAAACAGCACTTCAAAACTCCCACACAATACTTTCACACTAAACAACTACTCATCCCTGTTGGCTTTCCCCGATTGCCAAGCTCCAGGTTCTGGTGCTGCAACAATAGAGAGAGCTAGTGTCTGATAGCTTCTCACTACAACCAAGTCTCTGACACACTTCCTTTCAGCAGATGGTAGCAGATGTTCCCTGAGACCACATGCTCAAACAAAGGACCTGGCGCTACACATAACAGAACAATAGAACCCTAAAGAGCACAGAAGCACACCTCCACACAGCTTACACAAACAACCAGGCTTAATCTAATAGACACATGTTCTTCAAAACACCAAAACACAACAGAACAATAGAATACTAATGAACATACAAGTGAACAAGTCTAGTCCCAGCTCACACAAATGAACAGCCTTACCACAATAGACAGCACATTCTTTATTTTAAAAAAAAACATCTCCCCAAACACTCTCCTGACCTGAACATGCTTAACCCAACTGTCATACTGTCTCTTCTAACACATCCATGCAAAATGCTCCTTTTGGCCTTCCCTGTTAACCGAAATCTTATTTACATAGCTTCTGGGATGAGTCTACTTGGAAGTTATGTCAAATCAATGGAAATCCGACATATTTCACCTCAACCTTTCATACTTTGTTCTCATAACTATAGTGGAATACTGGATTCCACCTCAATCTGCACAAGACTTCTTTTTTCACATGATCAGTTCAAGTCACATATTAAGAAAGTTCTGTGTTACACAGTGCCTGGATACGAGAAGGAACTTTGTTACAACACATTTTGGAAATGCCAAGCAAATTATGAGTGTACAAATAAGAACTTTGCTATTGGGGTACGCTGTACAAAACTAGAAGCATTTTTCACACACACCAAAAACCAATAGCTAGGAAAACCAAAGCTGGGGAGAATTTGAGTAACGCTGAACAATAATTAAATCTACATTTAGTTTTAACACTGTTTATCATTGGGAGGAAAATTCACCAGTTTCACATTTCTGTTACTACTACTTACACAAGACCATTGCTGATTACTTTAAAACAGTTTCTCAAACTGTACTTTTCCAGATATATTGGACTTCAGTTCCCACAATTCCTAACAGCTGGCAAGCTAGTTAAGATTTCTGGGAGCTGAAGTCCAAAGCACCTGGCGGCACACAGTTTGAGAAACACTGCTTTAGAAGAGGTAGATTCCAAAGATTTCATGGTTCCAAAGAACCTTCTCAGATTTTGAAGAAGTTGTTCGAAGTGCCTAAAAATCATTTTGCTACTTAGGCATCAGATGCCAACTGATCTTTGAGGCTAAGCAGGATCAGACCTGATTATCAAACCAGACACTGTAGGGTATATCACAGAGGAAGGAAATGGCAATCCACCAAGGGAATCCTATGAAATGTCACTATGTCAGTCAATCACTTGAAGGCTTTATTTATTTATTTGCTGCATTTTCCCTGAGTGGGACCTAAAGTGCCTCACAAAGTTAAAACCAAAATCAACTAAAAACATGACAGTAAATATTAAAACACAATTTAGAATCACAACATTTAAACCATTAACTGATAAAATCATTCAAAAACTATCCATATGAATGCTGCACACTATGAATGCACACAGCAACACGTATTAAAAGGTTTAATTGATGACAAGCATAATTGAGGTATGTTCTGAAATAGAGCGTGTAATACACACCAGCGTGCGTAGGTGTAAATTGCATGACATGGTGAAATCAATTAAGAAACAGGTACTCCAGCAATCCGCACATGCCCACTGGAGGTTGGGGAGGGTTGGGGGAAACAACAACCAATTCCTCCACAAGTCATGAAGCAACAGATTATGGAACTGGGTTGAAGCCAACCTCTGCAGTGCGTATAAGCATCATCATGGCCTCGGACCTGGTACAATGCTTACAATGTAATATCTCCCACACGCATACACATTGAAGTAACTCTTCCTCTGTCATTTTCATAACAACCAAAGTGGTCTCACACTACAGCTTGAGTGATTCAATCAAGGAAGACACAGCTCTGTGTTTGCAAGACTTTTTCACCTATGTAGTTGATGATAAGGGATCTCGGAGACTCTTATTCATTGGGTCATTACAAATTGAAGTTGGTTGACAGTAAATAATAACAGTAACATGACAAACTTATCACAGGGCAGTCTTAGCAAGATATAGGCCCCATCATGCTGTAACATCCAGAAAGTTGTGGAATATAAGACTGGGTGGCTAAAAATGCACACCCCTAATGTGCACTGAAATGCGCATCCACATGAAAAACGTGCTTAAAAAAAGTCCAAAACTAATGATACAATGTGCTTCTTCTGCTCAGTGTACGGATGCTGCAGAGCAGAAATTCAGAAGGAATATGAGCAGTACGCATGTAAATAGTGCCACTGCTCTCAGAAAAGTAAACAAACACCTCCCCCCCACCTTCCCAAGAGGACATTGCTTTCTCCCCTTTTTAAAAAAGTTGAAAGATGAATTCCATCACTGATTCTCAAGCAATGAGGTGCTACAGTTCCGTGCATTTCTCCCAACTGATCTGTTGGATCAATTAGGGGAGCTTTTTCACGGTCCTGGGGTTGCGTGTGGAGACTCTTTGGAACTGGATTTCTTTCATTCATATTCTAATCCAGAGTATATGGCTCTGTAGAAGCAGCCTTATTCAGATAAGGTTTTCCACTGCCTTCCTCTGAGGCACTACAGCCTGTACCATATCCAAATTCATCCAGTGCACTGCCATGGCTGAGTGGGGATTCAAACTCTGGTCCACAAGAGTCGTAGTTCTATATTCAAACAACTACACCATATTCGCTCTCCTATGGGTATGCAAACACCCAGAATCATGCATTAATTCTAATGCAGCAATATAACCAGGGTAAAAACAAGTAAAAGGACTGTGATACAGGAATTTTTCAAAATCACTCAGGAAAGGACTATACAGGCCTGAACCATAAGAACTGTGTTCTCTGGAATAGGTTTCATGTTATCACCTAAAATCTATTTTTAGTTCTGACTAGAATAAATACGTTGAATCAACAATGATTCAATGACTTTACTCCATTTGAGATTAATCAACAGGAGTCCAGTCAATGAGTGGTATCCTACATTATTCTTGGGTCGTTTTACTAAATTCTAATGTCCAGCTGCTATCAACTATTCACAATGAAATGTAATATAAATATAAAATTTACATCCAAAAATTATAAGAATTCATTTAATTTTTTCTCAGGACACAATAATTAATATTTTAACAACAACAACACTTTTAGTATATTGTTACCTAGTGTTTTTCCTTGTAGGTATTTTATTACAAATTAACAAAATTAATAAGACTCAACAAATGTTTACATACTGAAAGTTGTCCAGATAAGAACTGTGGAACATCCCTCAACATGCCAGGACTCATGGGAGAAGTGACTGAAATAGAAGGTCGGTCCATTTTTTGAGATTCAAATGAGCTAGAACCTGAAAGAACAATTAATTTTATTGTAATTAAACTAATATTAATATTGTTTACATTCTGACAATGTAAGCATTAGGTCAGTGAAAGACCGAGTAAATGCTGAAAATTTTGCAAGTGAATTTTAACACTTATATAAATTTTCAAAAATAAAAGGTGAATTATAATATATAACATAGATAATTGCAGAGCAACTAATGAACAGATGTAAGCAAAGGTTTTGTAAGTCTCATGTATAAATTACATCAATTAAAACTATTATTACATAAAAGTGCTTAACATGTGCTTCAGAGATGCTATTCAATCAAACTGATTAAAGAATCAAAAACTGCAATCTAAGCAATTTCACATATTTATATTCATCTAGCATACTGAAAATATTTTATTAATATTTTTATTTAAAATATTGCAGTACAGGTATATTTCATTCAATACTCGGGTCTATCAAAATGAAGGCTTCTCAAAATCATTGCTTAAAATACAGAGGAAGGCAATGGCAAACTTCCTCTGAATAACTCTTGACAAGGAAACTCTACGCTATGGCCACCACAACTTGAAGGCATGTAACAACAAATAAGATACAATAGGAGTTCTTTCAAACATGATTGTTTCATATAATTCTTTGCGTGACTCTACTTAAACAACCATAAAAAATTGAAGCTTAAAAAAGAACAGAAGACCAGACAAAAACCACTCTACTATCCCAGTCTTACCATTGTGCAATTAAAATTCCTCAATATTATGTTCTGAGATTTTATTCTGATGGTACAATGGATGTCCCCTATTCTCAATGTGCACAGCAAAATATTATAATAATAATAATCCAAAAATCACTTTAGCTGCAATCCTATGAACACTTGCATGTGAGTAAACCTCACTTAACCAAATGGGACTCACTTCTGAGCAGAGACTGTACCATTTAAGTATAACTGTATGATGCTTATGTCTCTAAAATATAAACATTCTGGTTTCTTTTCTTTAAAAATCTCTAATATAGTCAAATGCAGTTTATTTAATAAGGCTGTGATGTTCAACTGGAACAAAAACCCGGAAATTAAAAAGCCCAAATTTACAGTACTCACTAGGTTATTCTTTCTCTTTTTCACAAAGAATATTATAATATGAATTTATTATTTTTTTAAAAAAAATTAACCCTAACATTGTATTTCTTAACTTCTGACAGTTTATTATTAAACAAAGATTGAAGAAATAGGTAAGTCATAAAGAATAGACAGATCTATGCAGACACATCTTTTCCATTTCCATCTTAGTTCAGGTGCATAACACTCCATCTATCTAAGAGAAATGAAACTTACTGGACTCCAACTGTGCATGAGTACTATCAGGTATCCTGGGAATATCCCTGCAATGATGAAAAGCAAAAGCAAAACATACATATATTTTTATACGTTGCAGAGCACATTAGCACATAACAATGTAAAATTTAAAAAGCGACTACAACCCGGCAAAATACTTGCGGTACAGAAAGTATTTAGGAATTGAAGATTAATTAAAGATTAGGCTATATCCAGTTTCATGTAAGTGGACTCCACTCACACTCCACTCTTCTCTTTCTCAGTTTTCCCTGTGTGCAATTCCCAATTTGCCTTAAGAGAGTCTCCAGCATTCCTAAGCAAAACTGAAGACACATAGGAGCTGTGTTTGTTCACTGCAAGATGGACACTGTTCAGTACAGCCCAATAGTTAGGTATAGTTGAAAGATCGCAGATAACAGTTAGATGTAATAATATAATATGGAACCAACAAAACGTTAAATCATAGGGTGATTGACTGAAAGTGGACTCTCTCATGGATGTGAATAACTGCTGAACAGCACTGCAACCTGTGACCACCAAGTTTCACAAGTTTCTTCAAAATTGATTGCCTTCCTTAAGTCGCCTTTTTTGCTTTCTAAAATGACCGAGTAAGAACAATTCTAGCAAGGGATTGATGGGGATGGCTGAGGTCCTATCTACACAAGCCTAAAACCCATGCTTTTTTCTGGACTAGCCTGGGGCATCCAAACAACACCTCGGGCTAATCCAGTTTAACCTGGAATAAACCTGGAATTCCGGGTTTACTCAGGGTTAAAAAAAACTGCAAAGATCTGGACCTTACAATAAGGTCTGAGTCTTTGCAGGTATGATGGATGTGGAGACTGCTCCTGAGGTTATTATCAGTGATCCCAGGAGTAGTCTCCACACTGATCCCATCTACATGGGCTCAAACAGCCCGTGAAGGATGGATGGCAATGCCACCCTCCTTCCCTCACCCCCTTTTCTACCTTTAAACAAATTGAAGTTAGTAGTTACCAAAGTTGGAGTCTTCAAAGCACTCTGTTGCATCTGGAAATTATGCAACAGAGCTTTCAAGAGGGGAGAGAGGAATTCCCACTCGAAATCTCCTCTGTGCCATTTCTATGTGCCATTGAGTGCTTTGAAGCCAACCGTCTTGGTATCTAATTAATTTCAACTTCTTTAAAGGTAGAAAAGGGGGTGAAGGAAGCCAGGGGGCCAGTGGCCATCCCCACATCGCCCCCTCCAATGTGCCAATGATGGTTCAGCATGGGAGAGAATGTAGACAGCCCCACCAAAATCTCTGGCTTTGGGGTCTTTGTTTAGCTGCAAACCTGAGAAAAACTGGCATTTTGAATGTCAGTTTCCTTCAGGTTTTTGATCTGGAAGGGCCCTGAGTGAAGTTCCAGATGGCAGCACCACTGGACCTGCTTGGGCTTTTCCCTCCCTTCCTTGCTAACAAGCACCACTTTCTGACAGCCGGAAAATTGTCTGGACATCTGCTTTTTTATATGGGTCCTGTGTAACAGAGACACAGAAACTAGAGTTCTCTCCACTTCTTCTTTTCTCCCCGTTGAGGAAAAGATCAGTGAGCGCTGGACACGTGACTAACCTACATTCCTTATGGTGGAAGCAGACTGCTGGTAGCAAACATTTTCGGGGTTGGGTTTTTTGTTTGGTTTTTTTTTTTTTTTGGCTTTTGGAATTCCAAACTGTATTGTTTACTACTACAATAAATCCAATTGTAAGTCTACAATCCATTCCATTATTAGCATAGTAGTTTTAAATTTAAAAAGTACATCCTTTATCATTTGATATATGCACCTACTTTTCACTCTTGACCTTTCCATGGGTCATATCAAAATCCATACTTTTGGGCCAAAAACAGCCCTCTATTTATACATGTGGTCAACTTATACACAAATATATACACTAATGCAAAAAACCATTTTCCTAGACCTTTACAGAAACATACAATTTAGAAAAGCCTCACATTTTTCTACTAGGAATTCTAAATAGAATAATGTAAATGCAGTAAACAAAAAAGCAACACAATATAAACATTTTAAAATCAGGGGAACTAAAAGCTATTTTTAGTAAAAAGCTTGGGTAAATGACAAATTTGGCATGGCAATCTAATAATGACAGTAATGCAGTCTAATATGTAATATTTGCTTTCTGACCATAGGCAACAAAAATTTCCATGCAGAAAAATGAGGAAGGGAAAAAGATCAAATCTCTTCTTCCTCCCATTAGCTTATTTCCATGACAACTGCAGAGGAAGAAAAGCACTTTATTTTACTTTATTTTATCTACTCATTTTGTCTTTTTTATTGTTTTGATAATTTTTTCCTGAACAGAAAATGCTATTTCATAGACAGAACATTCATTTGGCTACATTACAAATGTGAAGATTTTGCACAGAACAAGTTCCCAACTAGACCACATACTGCAGATCAAAGAGCAATTTTTGCCCAGAAAATAAGCAATATTTCTATGCTGTTTCCCATACAGAAAATGGTATTTGCTGAACAAAACCATATGTGGATTTTACACCTAATAAATCCTGAATTACAAAGATTCCTTTCAGTGCATTGTTTTTCCTAGTTCTTGAAATACCTTTCAAATATTCTTTCCATCTTTAGATATAGTCTATATAACACCCTCTTATTATCATGTTTTCTCAAATTCTTAAATACTTAAAGAGGAGTTCCACACAAAACAGATTGGTGTTATCATTGCAATAATCAAATGTATTGGTGAAAGATGGAAGACTTAAGTGGAGATTAAAGAAGTTATGTAGTTTGGGAATATAAAAACACATAACAAATAAAAATTCATTATGTGTTCTAATCAATTACAGAAGGGAATCACTAAGACAACTCACCCAATTGGCCTCGAAACTACAAGTTCCACTTGTGGCTCTGGTTTGGATTCTAAAATGATGTTGTACACTTCTTCAAATGTGGCTCCTTGCAAAAGCCTTCCATTCCATTCTAATACTTCATCACCTGCAAATTTAGACACAATAGTCTGTTTAAGAGGGAAAGTCCTGAGCTGTTTTCTGTGAACAACTTAAACATGTTTGTAAATTTCAATGTTGGCCTCCTTTAAATCTATAGAGCTTCAATGTTAATGAGGAATATAATAATAATAATACTAATAATAATAATAATAATAATAATAATAATAATAACCACAACTAGCATAGTAATATATCCTACAAAGGCTTAAATGTACAATTAATGTCAAAAAAAAATCAAGAAAACATTAAATTTGCTTTTTAACTGGTAATGTAATATAGCATAATAGTACACCACTACATAAATTAAAATACTGCACCAAAATAAAAATCAGAATGGATGTTCCCCTAAATAGTTCAACAAAATATTACTCTCTTACCTGGCCTAAGATGTCCCACTGTATCTGCTAAGCTTCCTTTTTTCACTTTGGTGATAAATGCACACAACCGACCTGATTCAGTCATTTTTCCTCCAACAACCTGAGAGGAGGAAAAGCACAAACATTAAGATTTTTAAAAGACAGTAAACTAGCAGCAAATCTTTTCTTATCTCAGTGAAGATTACCTGTCCAAACAGACATCATAAGCAGAAGAAACTGAAAATGTCAAGTGCATCAGAAATTAAGGATAGATTGAGTCTCAAGACATAAAAACTCAAATAATTCCAATGTGTTTTAGCTAAGAAATATTTGTATGGACTTTTACAGGAGAAGAAAATTTGAAAATTAACTTTCAGGGATTTTTTAAGCATCTCCAAAGATTAAGCAATATGCACTCCACCTAAAGAATTAGGTTTCTAACTGGTTGCTATTGCTTCATTATATATATTTTAGGTGTCTAATTAATTGCAATTACAGAAATTTTGCTTATTACATGCAGAAAATAAATGAATGAATGAATGAATTTTAATAAATCACTCCCTGTAGAGGTCTGTGAGTGCACAAATCACACGTGTCAAGTGTATAACTTTGCATTGAAGATTGATTCTTTCCTCAAAATTCATTTGCATAAAAATGCTGTATATGTGTATATATGAGCATATGTTTTAGACTAGAAACTTATACAAGTCTATATACAATAAATATAGCAGAAAAATATGGATTGTGTATCATTTGCTTAAAACTACAGAGGACAGATTATAGGTTTGTGGGATCTTTAAAAAAAACTACTTAGATTTCTGAGATCAACCAATTGGAACCTCGTGTCAAACACATAAATCTAGAATTAGCAAATTATTGCTTTGAGTTCAAAAAATGAACAGCATTTACAATCCTTCCGCATTAACATCCATGCCCAATGCTTTCTTTTTTCAGCATTATAATGTATGCTGTAGAAGAATTGGGAATCAGAGGTCTTACTGTAAATCATGAAGACATTTATCAGTGGATCCAGATCTACCTCCTGCCTGCAGCTAAATGAAGAACTGTAGGGTTTAATAAAGTCTGGGTTCTGCATTTTACTTCTCTCTATATATACTTGGACACATGTCAATGTCAAGTGCTATGTCAGATATTTACAAAGAAGAGAAGCAAAAACACTGTTTTGATTAGTGGCAATAATGACAACATGTCATTGCAATTGGACTTCTTTCCTGTGATTGAATTGAATAGTGGGATTCCATACATAGTTGACTGTCAAAAGGGGAGAGGACTTATGGCAAGAAGAAACAAAGACATGAGAAGTAAAATAATTGATCTTGGCTAAAATAAAAACTGAACATGGAGCCAGCTCTCACAAGATTAAAATTAAGCATTTTAATTCAATTAAAAATTAAACCTGTATTTTAAACATGGTGATTCAACAAAATAATAGACAATTATTCTAATGCTATATTATAGGATTTACAAGTATCAGTAATTTTTATTAAAATTCCAAAAAAGCAGGGCAGAACTCAGTTCATCTCTATATAATGTCACCTTATAAATATAAGCATCTAATCTATTATGCAGGGATACACTGAGTGACCAAACCCAAAGATTATTCATTAGTGGTTTCTCATCATTCAGTTTGGTGGGGGGGGGGAGGACTAATGAGTTGTCCCAGGAGTCTGTTCTGGACCTGGTGTAGTTCACCACTTTTATAAATAAACACAGGTCATTATTATCAAATTTGCAAATGACACCAAATTCAGAGGAGTAACCTGCATCCCAGAGGACAAAATTAGAATACAAAATAACCTTAGCTGATTGGAGAGCTGTACCAAAACTAGCAATATTAATTTCAACAGTAATAAATATACAGAAGAACATTTAGGCTGGAAAAGCAAAATAGATAAATGGAGGATGGCGATATCTGTCTTGACAGCAGTACAAGTTAAAAGGAGGTCTAGAGGTCTTAGGATCCACCTACACCAAAGTAGGTAAGAAGTCATTCCATGACACAAACACGTGATCTATGGAACCTTCCTGACCCCAATGCAGGATAAAGCCACTTAACACAGTTTTGGACCACTAAAGAAAAGTCAAGGAATGCTCTGGCATTTCCCCAAAGAAGGTCAGCACTTCAGATGGAGTGAACAGTTGTGCTGGAACTGGCCCTGTTGTTCACATTTTTCGTTGCTGCTGAAAAGAACCCCTGGCTGTTGCTTGGTGCCTTTACCGATGGTTTGGATTCTGTCCCAATGTCACAATGGGAAGGAGGCAGGCATTGTAACCACCTCTGGAGTCAATCCAGAATATTGCCACTCTGTGCCAACCCGTGTTAAGTAGCCCATGTAAACAGGTGCTTAGTAAAATGCAAGCTAAAAATGTGTCAACAGTGTGATGTGATGGCCAAAAAAGCCAGTGTAACTCTACATTGCATCAACAGGAATACAGTGTCCTGATAGAGAGAATTTGTAATACCTCTCAGTCAGGGCTATGCCAATTTCTGGGCACAGAATGACATGATAGCCATCTTTAAATACCTAAAGGAATGCCAGATAAAATATTTTACAATCTTGTTTCTGCTATTGTTGAGACTAGAATGCAAACAGTTAGATTTAAATTACTAGAAAGAGATCCTAACTAAATCTTAGGATGTTCTTCCTAGCAGTAAGTGCAGTAGGACACTGAAATGTTTACCTCAAAGAGTTGTAGCGTCTCCTTCTTTGGAGATCTTGTAACTACTAGGAAAAGCTTGACTACTAACCTTCAATCCAAGCATTGCACCGGAATCTCTAGGCACACTTCCATCTTTTAGTCGTTTGTTTAACAAAATCCGACCTATTAAACGATCTCCATCTTTGGATGGCTGCCAGGTTACAGGATGCTATAAAAGGGAAAAAAATCAGCAAAATTCAGTTTCTTGGGGAAAACAGCTCAGTATCAACTTTATCTTCAATCGCCAGTTTAAAGCATTGTGAAATTGCTATGATTACACTATTGGCTTTATGTGTAGAAATTAGGACTGAAATCAATCTCTTAATTTATACAGTTACTCCTTATATTTTCCTAAATGGAAATTCCAGATTTAGCTTTTAAATGTGTATGTTCAGTACATTAAACTGAACAAAGACAAAAGAAATCCAAGATATTAAACAGTAATTATCATGCTAAACAACAGGTTGTGTTAAAGTTCAATGTAATTAAGATATGATTGCAAGTAGTCAAAAATTACTTTATTAAGAGCTTTCATTTAGATATACTAATTTGGAGGTAATCCCACAATTTTTGCAGAACTACTTTTTAACTAGAAGTACCTAAATTTACAGTGTAAAATCCTTTAAAATGGAAATAATTTATGGTAATTTCATATGTCCACATTAAAATATCAGCACAGTTCACCATAGTGCTACTTCAAGAATGTTATATATCAGTGTTGTATTTGTTTACCATAGAGCTACTATAAGAATGATATATACCAGTGTTCGTTTATGACATAGCCTTTGTGCTGTAATTTAAAACCTGCTTAAATCATCTTCGGTTTTGTGTAATCATAGCACTTTTTCACATCTGTGCAACAATTTATAGCCCTCATACATGCAAAATTAGCATGCATACAATTCATAACTCATTCTATCTTAACAATACTGGAATGATTTATCACAAACATCAAACAGAAAGCAAGACTTTTTTAAAAAAGCAGAGGACAAAGACAAATATTATCTCATAAAGCACAAAAGTGACACAGCAACAAAACAAACATGGCAATGAAAGGGAAAAAAGAAAAACAATGTTTCTGTGCAAACAGATGCAATTTTCTCCTCGTGAACTTTTGTTCCTCAACCTGGGAATTAAACTATTAATTTAATTTCAACCCCAGGGACATTATAGTAGTAATCAAAGATGCCAATCCGGGAAAGATGTTATTGTTTAATCACTTTATGGTTGAAGGTGACATCACCAAATACTATTGTGTCACCATTTTTGTGCCTAAATAATGTTTTCTATTTGTGCTCCCAAAAATGAAGACAGTAGAGTAATCCAATGGATGTGGTTTTGTTTTTCTTTTCTGCACCTTAAGAAATGTTAGATTAAACTCTTTTGTTTTATTATTGATCTGTTTAATGAGTGACAGAGAGCAAACAAAGACCAAATGAGCAGTTAAAATGCAGGCACCACAAAGCCAGTACCTTTTCACTATGGCTATGCTCCTCATTTAGAGTTGTGCTACTACAGGTGTCTACCCCAGAGTCTTTAATCTGAGGCTCAGACCATTCCAAGTCCTCTTCCAAAGAGTGGCCACCAAAATACACCATTTTCTTTTGTCTTTCAGATAAGGTGTTAGAGTCCGATAAAACTGCCTGCTCACTAGTTTTTCTTTTTCCCCTTTGACTGTCCCCTACAGGTGTAGGATAAAAGGATACAAAAAAGAAAACATGCAAAGATGTAAATAAAACAAAGGAAATGTGAAATGGTAAAGGAAACTGAATGGTAAGGCTCCACATGTCTCACCAAAGACATAGGGGATGCCTCACTGCTATGCCAAGACGTATGGTCCCAGTTGTAATCCATGTCTCCTGTGAGAATCAGACAGACAAGATAGTGCAGTAAAGGAAAAGTGAAAGAAAGGACAGACAAAGATATAACAGACTTTTCAATTTTAAAATCACCTGTCTTTATAGATTTAAAGTAACCAATATATATATATATTTAAAATAGCAGAAATTCCAAAAGGGTGACTACATGTTCTAAAGTAGTGTTTCTCAACCTTCCCAACTCATCACAACAATTCCATCACAACAACCATAACATTCATTTCATTACTATTTCATAATTGTAATTTTGCTACTGTTATGAAACATAATGTAAATATCTGATATGCAGGATGTATTTTCATTCACGGGACCAAATTTTGCACAAATACCTGATATGCCCAAATTTGAATATTGGTAGTTTTGAGGAGGATTGGTTTTGTCATTTGGGAGTTGTAGTTGCTGGGATTTATAGTTAACCTATAATCAAAGAGCTTTCTAACTCCACTAACAATGGAATTAAACCAAACTTGGCACACAGAACTACCATGACTAACATAAAATACTGAAAGGATTTGGTGGGCATTGACCTTGAGTGTTGGAGTTGTAGTTCACCTACATCCAAAGAGCACTGTGGACTCAAATAATGATGGATCTGGACCAAACTTGGCACAAATACTAAAAATACTCTAATGTGAACACTGGTGGAGATTGGGGAAAATAGACCTTGATATTTCGGAGCTGTAGTTGCTTGGAATTTTAGTTCACCTACAACCAAAGAGCATTCTGAACTCCACCAATGATAGTATTGGGCCAAACCTCCCACACAGAACCCCTATATCCAACAGATGGTTTTTGGTGACTCTTCTGACACCCCTTTTCTGGTGGTTTTTGGTGACCCTACTGACACCCGTTCTTGACCCCCCCCCCCCCAGGGATTCCGACCCCCAGGTTGAGAAACACTGTTCTAAAGCCAGTGTGAATGTACATGTATGTATATCAACTGTCATATTCTGGAGGTAATTAGCATCACTTTCCCTTCTCAAAAAAGGGATATGAAAATATGACTATTCAAATATTGGTAACTGGAAAACATGTAGCTGACATCCTAAAACATTGGAAGTATTCAATTAATTTCATCAGTGCTGATATCAGGGTGGTCTGGCTCTGTTCTTAGATCAATAAATTGTAACTAAACTCCACTGAAATCACTGGGACAAGAAAAGTAGGAGGAAGCAGGCTGTTGCCTAAAGCACACATGGCAGTCAGGCGGCAATAGACTTTTGTTTTACTGCTATCCTAAAAACTATGGCAACTACAGCAATTCTCTGCAATGCATACCATTTTTGTTAGCAATGATATAGAAAACGAGCTTCTCTTGTTAAAAATAAGTTTTAACAAGTTCAAATAAAATACAGAACTATTTAAGCAAATATTTTTTTCTCTTAATACCAATAATAAAAATCATTACTATCATCACCTAGAATCAGGGATTTAGAAATCTGCATGGATGTATTTGTACCACATGTAACATGACTTTTAGCACCTGGTAACTTCAGAGAAACCTGAATGTATCAACAGTAATACATCAGAATAAATAGCATTTTGGGTGAAATAACCTAATAATAGGAGGTTTCTGCTTCCATAATTAAGTAAATGTATTTATTTAAATCACAATAGTGATGGGTATATGGGTGGGATCCTTTTTTATAATCCTTAAGGTTTTTACAATATAATAATAATAATAATAATAATAATAATAATAATAATAATAATACTTTATTTGTATACCACTCTATCTCCCCGAGGGGACTCAGAGCAGTTTCCAGAATAGGTAAAACATTCAATTACCAACAAAAATCATACCAAATAACCATTATAAAACATAAACATAATACTATTAAAACAAGCATACCCATTTTAAAATGTAAAAGCCAATTTCAATACTATTCCACCAGGGTTAGTGCAATAATTCATGAATTTCCCTCAACAATGTTCTTGTATCAGTCCATTAGATAAAAATGTTTTAAATTCTTAAACTGAACTAAAATCAGACATAAAGAATGCATCTATATTTCAGCACTCAGCCTGACATTTTGGTTTAAAAAGTAGATTGGGCAGAACTATTTTAGGCAGACATCTAAACCCCTGTGCTAAAACAATGCATCTAAACAATGTTAAGCTATATTCTCATAATACTACTTTAGTTTTTCAAAATGATAACATACCTGTGAAAAAATGAGAGACTGTTAAGAAAGGGCACAAAATAATCCTGGAATTAAATTTTCTAAAAGCAAATATCCATCTTACATCTATGAACTTCTAAACCGTATTTAATCTAAAATTATCTGAGAAATTGTAATCTAGATTTTCTAAAGAAAATTCAGAAGAGTCTATACCATACATAATACAATACATTCTCTCACATCTAAATTACCTCCTTCTTTTCCATCCTGGAACCTTTGTACTTATGAAAGGAGCTCTACATAAAGGAAGTAGGGAAAAGGTAATAAAATAAGAATGAACACGGGAGCTATAGAACAGGTCTACCACCAAATGTTATTGTAAACCTCAGCTCATTTTATTCTGCAAAGACCTTTTGTGCAGTATACAATATGAGTGCAGTTCTAATATTGGAGTGATTTAATAAGTAAGCAACATTTTTGCAGTTCTGGAACTTCTTTCCAAGTATAGGCAGTCCACAAGTTACAAACATTCAACTTCCATACAACTCATCGTTAAGAATGGAGGTAAGACAACATGAAGTGAGAGAAATCTATCCCTAGGAAGGGAATTTCACTCCTGAAAGAGTTATCATGGGAAAAAGATGTCTCCTTTGAAGCTTCCTCATTCTCTCACTCATTCCCACATCCTTTCAATTATAGAAACATCAACTCTCCAATAAAAGTTCACTTTTAGGACTTTCCTACATGAAGCCGCTGTCCCACAACATTTCCGCAATCTGGGAAAGTGGCTACTACTATTGTAACCTTCCGCATCATACTGGTGTCGCAACTGCAATGTCTTGGCATTACAAGGCCACACTTTGAGATGTGTGGTGTAACTCCACCCCACTGTGATACCACTTCTTTTTTAATTTCCAAAAGGCACTTCACAATTTTAACAGCGCATATATATATATATATATATATATATATATATATATATATATCTTTTTGAGAGAGAGAAAGGACAATCATGATCCATGATGGTACCAGCATGCCATGATCAAACCATCTAGACCTCATTGCACCAAATAAGTCCTTGGACAATGGCTTGATAAGGTGCTATTGAGCCTTGCCCATCAATAGGTGCTGAAGGCTTCATGGAAGAGAGGACATTTCCACATATTGTATAAATTAAATACTAGATACCAACCAACAGATATCGAATATCATGCTGGTTCACTACTTCTATGCAATAAAGTCCTAAATTTATAGGATTATGTCACCTCTGCCATACCCTCTAGTGCCTCAGGGTTGCATACATCCAAGTTTGAACTACACAGTACCTGGCCCATTCAAATGCTTCTTGCTCAGGGATAAATAAATGAAAAGTCTGAAAATGTTCAACTATTTTTCTTTTGAAAAACAGGGGTTTTTTTTTTCATTTTTTTCTTTATTGAAGACAATCTACTAAGGAGCAACAATCAAAATAACTATAAGTATTTATTTTCTACAAGCATAAAGAACTCTCTATCTGGCAATCAGCAAAATGTCATGGCATGTGAGTTTCTCTGCAACACCTTGGCATACATATGGAGAAAATGCACACATGTGTTGCAGGGCCATGTGCTCTTTGTATGCACTAAAATCACATTCAGTCACATGCTTTCAGGGATTCCACCAAGATACATTTTCCAGATACAACTCTACAGTGACATTTCCACATATTGTATAAATTAAATACTAGATACCAACTAAATGTATGGCGAGTTACATCTTTAGAACAACTTAGCTGTTTCAGGATAACGTAGTCTGTTTTTCAGGACAGAAGGCCTTTATAATATGTGAGATATCTGTTCCAGAACCCGTCACATAATATAGTTTTTGTGGAATTTGGAATCCTATTTTTCTTATCTGAATTGAATTATGTCTTGGACATAATACCTAAAGACATATTTAAAATACCTAAAGGTATATTATTTCCAGGTCTCCAACACAATTTTTGTATTGGAGACCTGGAGATAATACGTCTTTAGGTATTTCTGGCAGAACATCCAACAGCAGTTGAGCATAGAATTCACTGGAGAACTAGAGAGAACACTAGTGCATTTATTTTTGTTGAAAGTGATAACTTTAAATCCAGTGAACTTTGTAGGATATTAGAAATGAGCAGTTCCCATTTCCCTCAGTTGATACATCACTCCTGTTTTAATTATTTAAACCACAAATTATTTTACAGTTTTCATCCCTATACATTTCTCTCCTGCAACTGTAAACAGGAGGGACAGCCAGAAGACTGTCAAACACAGGTTGAAGCATGTTAAACTATACCCTGTATTTGGGACATTATGCAGACCAAATGCTGCACAAGATACTTTTCTATGTTATTGGGCAACAACTCTCTGGAGGTAAGAGTTTTGTCCCTCACTGGAGATCTTAAAGTAGAGTCTGGGTCGTGTTGTTCAGTTAACTTAATGCTATTTTATTTATATCCTATCTTTTTCCCAAAATAGGACTCCCAGCACTAATTAAGAGTAATTACATCTTAAAGTGAAACATAATAGTATACATTAATTAATCAAATATCTTACCAAAACCTGTGCAAATTTACACATTACAGAAGCTTTTAAAGCAGAAGAATAAGGATAAAAAGCCCCACCCTCATTAAAGATATTTCTGCCTCAACCAGGTGATATCTAGAGATCTGTCAAAATAAAGAAGTATTTTGACTGCCGGTCTAACAGAGATGGTTGTGGAACACAGAGAAATATTTCTTTCAATGTTAAATAGTTAAAATATTAATTCTAAACTACTGTCAGTCAGTGAGCACAAGAATAATACACTCAGAAAAATCTTATAGAGACACGTGCTTATACACAGTACAGGAACATCATTATCTAGAATCAATTTCTATCTGTAACTTAATAGGTTGTTCATTCATTGTGACTGAAGATCAGGTAGATATCTATTGATCAAATCATGTTTCCCACTTCCCTGACCCTCTTTTTTTCCAATCATACTCCATGTTTTTTGCAACCAAACCAAAGGATAATTCATCTAAAACAATTTGGTATGGAGCTTAAGGTAACTAACCAGCCAACAAATCAAATAGTTGTAGTGTTGACTCATGAAATAAACAATGATATCCTTTTATAAAATAACTGTGAACTTAAAATGTATTTTTTAAGTCAGATCCAGCTTTAAGCAAAACATTAAAGACAAAATATTTTAACTTTGAATGTGTTTTTGATTTTACAGCAGAGTGCTGAAAGGGCTTTAAGGGCCAAATACTTATGAACATTTAATTTTACATCTTGAAACCAATCGTAGAGACACATACACACCATAAAAATACCTCAAAATGTCTTGACAAAAATGGACCTGATCAGTAGAAACGCCTTAACAGTTTCCATTCCTTTTCCTTTCTAGCTGAGAAATAACTTCTCCAACCATTTTTATTCATAGTAGAACTGAGGGGAGTATTCAGTACCTTTTTCCCAAAGGGGAAAAGACAGATTAGAGCAGGGCATTTTGAATCAAATATATTATTCAGAAGGGAAGGTGCAACCTTTTCTTAATTTGTCCTCCACCTTTGTGAAAAATTATGTGGGGGGGGGACGGACAGTAATTCCAAATCCATTTTAGCTTTCAATGGTCATTATTGTGACACATACCATTTATGTTGTGTTATTTCAAGCTGCAATACATCATAAGACACATAGAAATGTATATATACGTGCGCACACGCACACATATACATACATAGAATCATAGAATCAAAGAGTTGTAAGAGACCTCATGGGCCATCCAATCCAACCCCCTGCCAAGAAACAGGAATATTGCATTCAAATCATCCCTGACAGATGGCCATCCAGCCTCTGTTTAAAAGCTTCCAAAGAAGGAGCCTCCACCACACTCCAGGGCAGAGAGTTCCACTGCTGAACGGCTCTCACAGTCAGGAAGTTCTTCCTCATGTTCAGATGGAATCTCCTTTCTTGTAGTTTGAAGCCATTGTTTCACGTCCTAGTCTCCAGGGAAGCAGAAAACAAGCTTGCTCCCTCCTCCCTGTGGCTTCCTCTCACATATTTATACATGGCTATCATATCTCCTCTCAGCCTTCTCTTCTTCAGGCTAAACATGCCCAGCTCCTTAAGCCACTCCTCATAGGACTTGTTCTCCAGACCCTTGATCATTTTAGTCGCCCTCCTCTGGACACATTCCAGCTTGTCAATATCTCTCTTGAATTGTGGTGCCCAGAATTGGACACAATATTCCAGGTGTGGTCTAACCAAAGCGGAATAGAGGGGTAACATTACTTCCCTAGATCTAGACACTATGCTCCTATTGATGCAGGCCAAAATCCCATTGGCTTTTTTTGCCGCCACATCACATTGTTGGCTCATGTTTAACTTGTTGTCCACGAGGACTCCAAGATCTTTTTCACACGTACTGCTCTCAAGCCAGGCGTCCCCCATTCTGTATCTTTGCATTTCGTTTTTTCTGCCTAAGTGGAGTATCTTGCATTTGTCCCTGTTGAACTTCATTTTGTTAGTTTTGGCCCATCTCTCTAATCTGTCAAGATCGTTTTGACTCCTGCTCCTGTCCTCTGGAGTATTGGCTATCCCTCAATTTGGTGTCGTCTGAGCACACACACACACACAGAAAGAGAACAATGATGCAACTTCAATTGCACATATAATATATCTACACAGGACTAGTACACAGTACACAACTGCAATAGCCACCACTGTTGTACATCTTTAGTTGGCTCAACTTTTAAAATAGCATTCATAGTAGCTTTCGTAACTAATTTACACATATATTGCCAACTGTGATCAACCTGAAATTGCAAAACCTGATTTACATCTGGCTTAATTAACAAAAAATGAGAACAACACTGTTGTATGCTGGCCAAATAACTGTAGTAAATACTAAGTATTATTTGTGGCTGGAATCATTCTTGTATCTGTGTGCTTACTTAAGACAATCAAGATGGTGGTGGAACTCCTGTATTTCAGGAAGTAGGCTATTCAATCTAAACACTTATGGCGGTGGGTTGTTTCGAAGTGGTGAAATAGGCA